TGACCCTCCATGCAAAGAGGACAATGCCCGAGTTACAACGGTACCCTTGAAACCTCTCGACTGTTGTCAATGTCTATGGCGGCTTGTGAAAATGAAACTTCCTCCTTCTTAGGTTTAGCGGTCAGCTTCCGAAGATGGGATCGCAGGGACAGATCATCCTTACCATTCAGGGCCTGACATAGATCGGTTCAATAGAAGAGGATACAATTTCTGGATGGTTATAGCTTAGCCAATTGAACTCGATATCCACAGTGTAAACTTTTGAATTAAATTGTAATTTAATTCAATTAATTTGATAATGTAAAATAAATAGAAGAGGTGGATTGGGTTTATTTACGTTCCACGAGACGTACTAGGAAAGCTTCTAGAACTAATTAAACTTTTAGGCAACAACATTTATAAAAAGCAAAAATTGCCGAGACCCTGCCCTTATACCCTGCTAAGAAATATTTTTTTATTCATAAAAGCAAAGAGTCCAATATGTCATCAAAAACATTGTTTACAATATGTGTTACTAGTTGTGCAGCTGTCAAAATATGTCACAGTAAAATGTTAACAAACACCGTGTCTCTCATCATGGTTCTAGTTTCATTGGTTACTCAGGGGTGTTTATTTTCCTGAAAAAAATCGCTCCCCCTCTTTGGGAAAATAAGTGATGTTTTATGAGAACAAATTAAATTAATGGGTAAAAAGTATAAAGACGAAAAACATTGCCTTTTAATATGGAATTTTTCATTTTTCCCCAGATCCTCAATAAACAACTGCAAACCCCCTCCCCCGGACGGAGAGGGGTAATTCTTAAAAATATACACCCTTGTGTTACCTGAATCAGCTGAATACGTTTACTCTGCTCTTTAGGATAGAATCCAACCAGGCAATCAATCCTCTCCTCATACTTCAGGATTAAAAACCTAGAGCTCAGCTCAACCTAGGTAGGTAGGTAGGTAGGTAGGTAGGGAACAGGGATGTTGGGTTTTCTTACCTCATCTTTAATCTTATCCGCTACTGTTTCACCCAAAGGCAGGAAGAATCCAAAAAAGTAGCAAATGTCCTGATCAACGAATAAAATTGTACGTTTATTCATATAAAGTTAAAAAAGATTATAAATATAATTAGCAAAAAAAAACATTTAATGAGAGTAGCAGAAACAAAAGTGATCTTGTAAAGCCATTCCAAAAAAAATCCTATTCCTAACCCTTCATTATTCAAACTTTAATTTTTTTTTTAGTGAAATCAGAAACTTACCGTTATCGTATATGAAAAAAAATGAGAAGCAAAAAAATATGTTTTTACCCGTGTTAAATCCGCATTGAGAAATGTGAAGTCATGAAGATGAAAGTTGAAAAAGTAGCATTTTTTAAATCTGCCGATCGCGTTCTCTACCAGCTTTTTAGAAACCTATAATACAACCACACTTAAATAACATATCTTTCATGTTAATTAAAAATATTTTCTATGAAATTAGCTTTACCCGTAGGGCAACAAATGTGTGAGGGCCTTCGCTTTTTACGTCAAACATCCGAAAATCCTCGGAGGGAATAGTACCAGTAATATATCCATTCAGTCCATACACCTTTGAAGAAAAACTGTGAAAATCATTTTTTAAACTAAAATTTCTTAAATTTATTTTTAAAAAACCGTCTCCATAGTTATAGTGAAACTTTTTACACAAAACAAAAATATTACCCAGGGTTACATACATTTAAGAATTACCCCCCCCCCCTCCATAAAAATCATCATTTTTTTCCCCTCTGTACCTGGTGTCCTGAAGGTGTCCTGTAGGCGGAATTTATGTATACACCCAGAGATATTGGAAATACGCGGTCGTAAACTCTAGCCCGAAACCTGAAAATATATCCAAGGGTAGGTTTTTTTCTAGAAATCAATTTCTTGATTACTTTTGGAATTGTAAGCGTTATTTTAAATGAACCTCCATGCAAAGAGGACAATGCCCGAGTTACAACGGTACCCTTGAAACCTCTCGACTGTTCATCGAGTAGAGGCTCTGTGTGCTGTGTAAACCTCTTGAGTAGCGGTTAAATCGATCCAAACAGGGTTTAGACACTTGTGTACGCCGTGTACAGTGTGAACTCATGACAGAAGATCCGTTACTTGCACGTTTCTTTAGAAATATAATTAACTATATTGGAAACCCAGTGCTGCCAAGGTTACTAAAGGTTACTCCTGCCGTTTACCCGCAATTGAACGATTTTACCGGGAAACAAATTTAAGCTGTAAAATTTGAACCACTCATTTTAAATTCTCAAAACCCGGCTAAATTCCCGTGGGTCTCCCAAGTTCCCTAATCAAAATTTGAGGCAAATTGGTCCAGGGGTTCCCGATTTATGATCGGACAAACAAACAAACAGACGACAAACTGAGATAACAGCTTTATATATATAGATAGATAAAAAGTTTATGAAAGGAGATGAAAATGAATAAGTCTTTTCTGCTTCTAGAATCCATAACTACCCTTTCAAGGATTTTCGTCTGCTAAAAAATCCCTTTATTTAACTCGAAACCTTAAAATTTAGAAATTAATGAATAATGTTACCCTGAACTCTTATCTGCTCCTGCGAAGTTAAAAGCAAAGCATGAATGTTGATCCAACCCTGTAACAGAATCTGCTTCACAGGGGAACAAAAACATGAAGATCATTCCTCCCTGCCATAATACTGGCCCTAAACATTATAACTTGTCAATTTAAACAACAAATATTCGAAATATAATATCTATCCCCGCCCAAAAGTTTAAGTGTTGCAATAATTCGACCCAAAATAAGAGTTAGTGTTTTTAATAAGAACAAATATGATTGCCTTGTAAAACTTGTAATACAATTTACGCATTTCATATCTTAAAACTTTCATATAGAATTTCAATTCATATATTTTTTGCAGTAATGATAAATCATAACAGTAACAATCAAAACAATAATACATCAAAAATATGTAATTGGCAGATTACTCCAAAACTGACGTATTTTCAAAATATAGCAAATAGAATATCCAAAATATATATGTCCCAAAGTCAAAATGTTGCAAAACTTAGCCCAGAAAATTTAAGAGCGTTTATGTTGTTCATAAAAACATGCATCATTGCCTTGTAAAAATACAATTACACAATAAACATCTAACTTAAAACTTTCAAACAGAACTTAAAGTAACATTTCGGAACCCTATTAACGGTCAAAAAACAATTAATAAAAGACAAAAAATGTGGGTCCAATCGTTCAAGCTATTTCTAAGTTAATTGGGTAAAAAAAAACGACACAACAATTGAAAATAGTCAGTTAGATAAAACTACAAGAGTAAGCTGTCATCGAGACTATTTTAAACTCAAGCTTTAGAATAAGTTGGGAATAAATTACTACAGTTCAGAGTTGGACTATATTTTGTAATTGGTGGAATTTGAATAGTTGGAATTGGCGAATTTCGGGTTTCGATTATAAAACGACTCAACATTGACACTATTTCTCCTCTAAAACTAACCAAGGTCAATTTTATTTTCATCAGGCCCGACCAGGCCTAACTACTTAAGCCGAGTCTAAGGGCTGGCATCCGTTGATGGCGTCACAAAAGCTGTTGTCAGCTTAATTCTTAAACCAGGTCTGAGGAATACAAACCAGAATCATAAATGTTAAATAGATATTATTTTTGAATCTGACCTAATGAAGTATCTGCAACGGTTCTCTTCTGGTTTCTAACACAAAGCGGTAGCTCAATATGATGACTTGGCAGGGTAATCACAACAAAACTATTATCTGTTATCAGCTCAAACAGACCTTGGAAAAATAAAATATAAGGGAATGTACACGTTATTTCGAGCAACCCTCCATTTAGAGATTGATAGGCAATTCTCAAAATTTTCTGCATGGTCTCTGTAGCAAAAATTCGCAAAATTATTTTCCAAAAAATATTTCTTTAAGTTAAAAAAATTGTGATTTATTCTAAATAAAAAGATCAGTTTAAAAATCATGATATTTATATAGGCGCCATGACAAACTCCTGAAAGAGAAACTCCTGAAAGACAAACTCCTGAAAGACAAACTCCTGAAAGACAAACACCTGAAAGACAAACTCCTGAAAGACAAACTCCTGAAAGACAAACTCCTGAAAGACAAACTCCAGAAAGACAAACTCCTGAAAATAAAAACTTCTGAAATACAAACCCATAATATCAAATTTAAAAAAATGTTTCTCACTTTATATTTAATCTAGCCGCAGCGCTCGGCCCAGAAAGTGTCATAACTTAACCTAACCGATGGCCACAGCGCTCCGGCCCCCTGGCATGTCCTAGCCGCAGCGCTCGGCCCCCCTAGCTTGTCCTAGCCGCAGCGTTCGGCCCAGAAAGTGTCTGATCATTGTAATACTTTGCTGCTTGAAAAATATTCAAATTACTAAAGATTGAGAATTTTTTCTAGGATATTTGCGGATTTTTTCTCCTAAAGTTTATGAATTTTATCATATTTCATTCAGAGAAAAATTTCATAATTTCAGGAGTTCGTCTTGTCAGGAGTTTGTCATGGCACCATTTTTTTCTGAAGGTAAGCATTTTTTGGGGAAAAATTTTTGTTTCTTGTTAGTTAGACCAGAATTTCTTAGATTTCTTTATATTAATCTTATCTTCTTTTGGCATTTGTGGTGGGGTCAATTTCTCATAAATAAATAATGCGACCCAAAAGTTAATACAAGCTGTTAAATTTCTACAAACTTCTGTGTTTTTTCAACATCAGTCAAATTTTCGAAAATTTTACAAATGTTTAACAAAACAAAAAATGAAAAAAATTATGTTTTTGCGCATATTGGGATGAGTAAACATTTTTTAGACATCTTAACCAAAACAGAAGGACATTGAAGAAAAAAGTTATTTACTTTATATTTACTAACCCTATTTGTCCACCAATTATGATCTAAATATCTAATTCAATCCCTTTTAAATGTAAAAGAGAGTACCTGAAGCCCCTTTCAGACCGTTGGTTTTGTATTGGCATTTCAAATTTGTCCATTGAAAGCTCATATGGTTTGTGAACTGACTCTAGAAATAAAAAAAAAATTAACATTTCATTTAAGAAAATATTTGATGCAATTCCATACCCCTACATTATTCCTGTTCTACATTGTTCTGTCCTACGTTTTCCTGTCCCACGTTTGTAGAAGGGTTCAAGAAAATATGGGTCAGGTCTTTAGACCTTGGAGGCCTATCTATTTGCCTATTGTGATACCCAATTCATAAATTTTTGGAAAGCTCTTGTGATCTACTTAAATATTCTGCAAAAAAGATTGCCAATTAGCAAAAATCCAAATATTTATGGCAAAATTCAGTTGTCCAGCAAGAAATGTGTGAAAACAAAAGAAGTTTATATAATTGTTTTTTGTTCTTCTTACAAAAAAACCGATCTAACCTTTTTGTTAATAGAACATGGGTCCCCTGTCAAGACATCACAAATTAGCATCCTGTTCTTACCAGGCTTTCTTAATACTATGGTATAGACCAGCTTGAAGTCCTGAAAAATGCAGTATGTTGGTGTTATTACAAATCAATGCACCATTCCCATTTAATTTGTAAAAAAACATCGAAATATAAGGGAAAATGGTGGTTTATTGTAGCAAAGTAAATCAAAACCTATTTTTTTTCAATGTTTTGTTTTTAATAATTATTGTATAAATAATAAAAAATCTACCTGAAACAAAAAAGCAATTCCCCCTGAAGAAAAGAAAATGTCTGGGAAGGCTCCAATGTCCATTACAAACATATAGTGCTTAACACCTATGAGGTTTTTAGTCAGCGTGAATTCAAATGAATCAAACTGAAAAACAGTCAGCTCTTCAGGCATGCTACTCCAAAATGATGGAGGTGGTGCAGAATCACGAAAGTTAGGTTCACATGTCTCCTTACATAGATAGGCCACTCCAGAAAAACTGAATTTACGAATAAGGGATCTGTTCATAAAATTGTGTTGAACAACAATGCCTTTCCACAATAGTTTGTGTGGACAGCCAACCAAATGCATTGATGTAAACAACTGAGGATGAGATTCAAGAAACTTCAGCTTGTCTTCAGGCTTGCTCTGTCTGTAGACAACAGGGAACATATCTCTTGATACTTTGCTGGGCTCACAAGCAAGCGAGGTAAGCAAAATACCTATCTTCTGTTCTATTACGCATGAAACTTCATTAGCTTCCAGTGATCTTTGCTTCTTAACTGGCATAGCAGCTATCTCTTTTGAATAATTCTTATATAGGTTACTCCAATCAACCGCATCTTTGCTGTAAAAGATTTGAAGAAAGTGATCTTTAGAGTGGGGTAAGAAGGCAACCCATCTGCCTAAATGATTCTGAATAAGAATAACACCACCGCTAATTGCATAATCAGAGGTAAAAACTAGAAGGAAACAGTTGGTATCAAAGCCCAACTTAATACTGGCTACTTCAAGATCTCCTACAAAGCGGAGTTTCCAACAATTTTCCCTCAGAAACTTGCAGGGAAAAGAGCCAACAACAAGTGGGATTATGTCTGCACTTCTCCCTTCTGGTGAATCCCATGGTACTGAAACATCATGATATTTATCCGCAAATACTATGTCCACAGATGGGCAGATGAAGAGGCTGCTTTTCTTATGACCAATCCCAGTTTTCAGTGAAGGCAGCAGTCCCTGGAAAAGTGCATCAAACCCATCCATATCAATACAGCCTTCCCAAATCAATCTATGGTCACATGAGAAATCTTCACCATGAACCAGAAGCTTGTTGACATACCCTACATTCTCTGTTGTTTGTTGAATTTTACTAAAGTGGTGCCTTATACTTGCATCCTCACTATCTATCATTCTCACAACCTTTCCCTTTTCAATCCAGACATTCCAAATCATCATTAAGACACTTATTCCTCTTCGAACTGTAAGATACTTAATGCCATTCCAGTTGCTTAAGATAGCTGCTTTAAGTTCTTGTGATAAATAGTTATCCCTAAGAATTTCCTTTCCAAGGTTTTTGGTAAAGAAGTGCAACTGTGGGAGCATTCCTGAAATTGCAGAGAGAAAGCAACTTTCTGAACAGATTCCTACCCGGCTTCTTTGAAACTGATTGAAGTCATTTTTGTCAACTGGATAGCTCCAACGTTCCCTGGGCCTGATGAGGATATTTGTTGAGAATTCCCCTGGTTTCCTGCATACTTCACAATCCTTTACTTTGGTAGATGTGGACTTGTCAGTCACTGAACTATTGTCCACATCATACCATGATCTGGCCTTCCAAACATTTTCAGAAAATTTGAAAAAATGTTTGGTAGGTTTTGAGAAGAAATCATCATTTCCAAAGTTGGCCAGGTGTTGAAGAATATCCAGTTCAAACATCCACAGATTTAGATTAAATTCACAAAAGTCTCCTTTGATACATGTGATTAACAAATAAACAACTAAATCAAACATTCCAAACAAACCGTGCTCTCCGAACAAATGAGACTCCTGAACTGTCTTGACTTCAGACATGAATTTTTCTGTGTTACCCAAAAAATGGTCGGCAACATAAATGTATATGTTTGGATCCCAGGCTGTCATCCATGCTAAGAAAAGGGCCGCGTTCAGGTAAAAATATTTCACAACATGGAAATAGGGAAGTTTGATCATGATGTTCCAATATTCAGTTGATGGCATACTCTTCATTTCATTTATGTCACTGTTTTTTGCCACTGGGGACATAAATATTTCTCGAAAAACAGAAATGCTCTGCTTTCGGTATTCTGGATCTTCATGCTTGAGAAGTTTTAAAAAGCTCATCTTAACAAGCCTGCCAAATGTTCCTTCAGTGTTGAAGTTTGTGGGGTTAAGAACACATGGAGGAGGAGGATTACCAATTGCACAACTAGAATTTTTGCTACTTGGGCATTCTGTACATTTCGCCTTGTCAAGACAAAATTCATGCAGGGCTGGTAAAACATGCTTCTCCTTGGCCACCACAGTTTTCAGCACAAGATCTTTTAAGGAGTACTCAGCTGCATCCCACATAGGGTTGTTGGTAATTGGTACATGCTCTTTCATTATTTTTGTATATTTCATTAACAATATCTCTAGATCTTTCATCAACAGTTCAAGCTTTAGTAATAGCTTCTCCTGGGACTCGGGTGTTGGCTTCTCTTCTTTAATTTTACAGATTGCAATGTGCAAATCCTTAAGAGGCAAATTGATAATTAACAATTATTTCATTATTAAATTTTTATTATAAAAATATGATTCCATGATTTTTTGGTTTTAAAGAATTTAAATTTGTGACTTTGCACACTTACTTTAATGTTTGTGGCCAATACATAATTTCCATATTTCAAAAGCTAGAAGAGGATATTGTTCTAAATTTGATGCATACTTAATACTTATTGTATTTATATATTATCAATTAAACCCTTCCCTTCTTTCCTCCCTCCAAAGTTTGTATTGCCATGTTCCATTGAAGACACATATTCTTGTGCTTGTTCTTGGGATTGTTCTAAAGAAAACATTAATTTTAGTTACAAATTGATAAATACTTAAAAATTCAAATTAAAACATAGTTTATAGCAAGAAATTGTAGAACTATAAAAAGTGCTTTTAATAGAGAACGCGCTGTACTCAGTCTTGTTGTAAACAACTGGTTTAATAAACATGGATTGCCCAGCCATGAACCCAAAAATTCAAACCATGAAAACAGTAAAAAGCCGTAATGATGTGTCTAATGTCTCAGCAAGATGTACATAAAAGAAAAGGCAACACTGAAGACGGTCAATTAACTTTTTGTTTGTTAGCAGAAAATTTCTTGTTTCACTGAATACAACAGTATGCAATCTAACCATAAAAAAACTTATAAACTCTAGCAGGCGAACTTCCTAAGGATTACAGCTTTCTCAGTAGGTATCAAGTTATACAAAGTCAAAAGTTATTGAAAAAGACAATCGCAAAATCGTCACTTGATTCCCATGTTTGTTGGGACACTCTGTAAATTTTCTGTTTTTAAAAATGCTGAAATAAAAATAACTTACGGGATTGTAAAGATATTCCAGTTCATTAGTTTTAGTATTCTTGAGACGGGTAAACCTACAAGAAATGAGAAATAATAGAGAAAGATTGATATGAAATAAAATTCAAAATAAGGCTTCATTTTCTGTTACTTTTTCATTTAATCACCCAATTCAGTGATTAAAGCATAGAGCATGGGATGGTATGGGGGTGAGGGGTGTAATTTTTTCCAAGAGTTTGGTAACCCAGATTTTTTTTTTTACAATTACTAAACAAATAAACTTACTTGACTAAGCTGTGATTTTCTTGACCAGCATCAATCAATACCTAACACAAAAAATCTTATATTTTTCAAAAATAGTTTGATGGAAAAGTTCTAAAAGTTCTATGGTTTCATTTGCTTCAAAATGAAAATAAAATTGTCTAATGCATGAAAAATAATTTAAAAAAAAAGAAAAATAGAAGTTTCTATTTGCCTGGTAGGCTTCATCTTCGCTTTTATCCTCGGAGATGGAGGCTGATTTAGAACTTGAGGCTGAGACTGAGGCTGATTTAGAACTTGAGGCTGAGGCTGTGAATTGTGGAGGTAAGGCTCGGATACAGGCGGATACATTCATGGTTCCACACTTAACAAGATTTTCACAATACTGAGCTCTTACAATCACAATAAAAGAACCAAAAAGTATCGCATTTTAAAAAATGTAAATGTATAAATGTATCAGGTCAATGATTGAGTTTTTGAAATTTAGAGTTTGAGTCGGAATTTTTTGACTAACCTCATTCATTCTGTATTATCATTTTTAGGTCGAATATGTCCCATGCCATGCTTGGTACATAGTGGACCTGAAAATGATCTAATTAATCACTTGAACGGTAAAAATTCCGTCCATTCTCCAAATATCTCACCTTAACTTTTGACCAGGTACACATGGTTATTTTTTTTTTATTAAAACTTTAAATATTGAAGTTTGAATGGTAATGTTACATCGTCTATAGTCAATATCCCCAGTACTAAACTGCTGACCTACTAACTTTTTGACCTACTGCAATATCGGACCTACGCCAGCTGTTTATTTTTGTATTATTTACAGGTTAGGTTAGGTTAAGACGATTTCTAGGCATAGTGTAAGAAAAAAGTGTAAAACTTGTCCTTATGTGGAACCTTTTTAAAAACCTCAAAAACGAACCAAAACGATTAACAAACAACCATAAAATGTTCATACAGACTCATGTATTTCGAAGGGCTGTTAACCCACCTCCTCCTTTCTATCCACCTTATGTGTATAATCTTACCTTGTCAACAAAACCATTCTTTTCACTAAAGAATTCTTGATCCCAAGGAACAAAGTTGGCAAACCCCCACTCATATTCCTTGGATAACAACCATATTAATCAAAAATGATAATTTTAAATCTTAAGTCATTAATTTTTTATCAAAGTGAAAACATTTCTTAAATATCAGGCCAAATTTAACTCAGAAGACTCTAAATATCAGGTATTTTTTCAATGTCTATTCACTTCATTCACCATTAGAAATATTTTCCTTTTTAACTCAAAATTATATGATAGTTGTTCATAAAAATGTTTTTGTTTTTTCAAAATAATTTTCAGCATTTATCATTGTTCAAACAAACAAAAACAACGAAACAATTCAGCCTTAAAATTAGTTTAAAACAATATATTTTTGTAATTCCTTTAATATCTGGATCCTAAGTTGTAACCCAGCCACCCATGAACTTCTGACCAGGGAGGGTAATAACAAATAATTATACCCCTGGCTATAAGAAAACATTAATTAATAAATCTTTAATTATGGTTCCTTTTCTGTGAACTTATGATTGAACTTTCTCGTGAGTTCTCCTATCGTAACTTCCGCACTTGCAACACATTGCCATTCACCCTAAACAAAATATACATTTTTACAGAAAATATACTTTTTTTTTACTTTTTAAAAACTAATTTTGATTTTCCTTTGATATCTTTTTCCTAGATTTTAAAAACTTCCTGAGTGGTGTTGAAAGACTGTAAGCCTCCCTTTTTTTTCTGGAGTTTACCTCAGTCGGGTTTGTAGGTTCACAACAGATATATACACTTAAGCACAACCTGGTCTCACCCTTGAATAAAAAATGTTAATGTTAACTAAAGTTTTTAACCCTCCCCCTCTCATCATTTACTCTAAATGTGATGTGGTATTTAAATTTCAGTGGTCTTGGTTTAAATTTGTTAACAAATATTGCCAAAACATCTTCTCTGACAACTAAGAAAAGAAGAATTATTTTTCGCGGTTATTTCTTTATAATTTTGTTGCAAATATTGACCACTATATTTTATTATCACTCTTATGTCTTATGCTGATTTAGATTAAGGAATAATTACAACGGTCATATTCACAATGAAAACTTTTCAGTTTAAGTTAATCCGTATTTTTTAATCTCTCATTAGCTGAGATTTTAGTCGGGTATTAAACATTATCAAAGTTAATTTGATTCGAAAACAAAGATACAAAAATATTACCTCAACAGCAACATTATCAACTACCAGTTTCAGGCTAAACTTTACCCTAAAACAATTTAAAAAATTTGTCTTGATTAAAGATTTAAGAAACTCGCAATATCGTAGCAATGCATTACAACTGAAACTAAAAAGAATTAAGTAAATAGTTCTGATGTTCCAGAAGAAACAAAACTTGGCAAAATCACCAAATGTAAAATTATCCCCTTAACTTAAAATCAAAACAAAATCACCAAATGTAATCAAAACAAAATCAAAACAAAATCAAAACAAAATCAAAACAAAATCAAAACAAAATCACCAAATGTAAAATTATCCCCTTAACTTAAAATCAAAACAAAAAGTAAATTGATCCATATCAGCCTTATCCTAAGGTTTGAACTTGGAATTACTAAATTAACAACCAGGGGCCTAATGTAATGGATTTTATTAATTAGAGCCAGGTCTAAGAGCCAGTTCAACAGCGTATCTTATTGTGACGCAGGACTTGTCCAATGTCCATGTCCTATAGATGATAACTACAGTATTTGAATCGACAATAGATAGTTCATCTAAACTGGCTCAAATTCATTACAGGTTCGGTCATAATATAAGAATTTTTGACCCCTCTCAACCCCCCCCCCTCCTTTCAATTTTTTAAAAGAACTACATTTCAATTAATATACTAGGAAATTTACCTTTGGCCAATTTCTTAGACGCTCTACCATAGGTAGAACCATAGTCACACTATGGTTACGCTTTACCAGAGCAGTGTAGATCGATAGATAGTTACGACCTATAGTTGTACCTATGGTTAAATGAATAAGAAATTGGCCACTTCATTCAATTCAGTACCCCGGAAATTATAATATAACCATTCAAACTTAATTCCTAATTTTAGTTTTACTTGAGAACTTGACATTTGGAAAATATTTGGCTCATAATTATTATGAATATGGGGTCCGTCCTAGTGAACACTGAATATGAGAAATTACCAAGCAATTACCCCTCTTACCTTTGATCTGAAGTTTTAATAGGAATTAACACGGATTTAGATTCCTTAAACTCCCGCTTCAATCCCAAATCCGGGATTGCAAGCCTAGATATTCAATCAGTTAGGTTGTGACCAGTTCATCAAAATAAAATATTTTTTTATTTAAAGTTTTACAATCAAAGATATTTACTTGAGCGTGAAGTCCATTCTAATAGTCGATGCAGTTTTACTTTCTTGAAACTGTTAGTAGCATGGTTTCTGAAATAACAAAATAAGATGTAAATTGTAAATTGAAGATGAACCCCTGGCTGCTGCACTCAGTCCCTTGACCGCAGCGCTCGGTCCATAAATTGTCTAATCCTTACCTATACAGTATACACAGTAAAAACAAAATGTATTCGCATAAAGTTTAATTCACAAATGAAGTAAGGTCCAAAAATATTCTCGGGTCCGTCCCATCTTACGATTTTTGGACCCCCCCCCCCTTCTATCAATTTTGTACATGACCTAGATTTGAACTATTTTCAACAAAAAATATATAAATTTTACATAAATTCAGGGTTAGGTTAAGATAGGATAACTTCTTGACCGAGCGCTGCAGCCAGGACAGACCTTTAATTTCAACAATTTTCACCACAATTACTATAAATAAAGGATAATATTAGCTTAAGACACTTTCCGGGCCGTGAGCTGCGGCTAGGCTAGGGGGCCGGGCGCTACGGCCACATGACAAACTTAGTCCTTGTGTTAAATATGAGAAGCATTTACAAAATTGATAGGAGGGTCTTGCAAATATTGTAATAGTAAGTACGTTAGAAAAAAAGAGGAGTCGAGCCAGCATGTTTCAAATGGTATCATGAAATTTGGCTTTAAATATGGCATTTTCATTTTAAAATTTGTGTTGTGATATGTTAAATCATGAACTGCTTCTTTAGGATAATTCGGCTACACTAGGAACATTAGATTAGTCATATATTAACGGCTTTTATTCTTCCACAGCTTCACTTCTCAAATGGGCGCGGAAATGATGAAAATGCCGCATAATTAATTTTCTCATGGAATTAACATAAGACGGCCTTTAAAAATGAACTGCTGTCATTTTTCAACAAATTATAATCTTTTTTCGAAAAAATTGTATTTTATTGATTTGCTGATATAAAACACTTCGACAACACGGACCAATTTAAAATTCTCTTTAACACTAATTGGTTCTATGATTGTAACGGATTACCTAACTCACCAAACACGTATCCTAAGTATTCCAGAATTAAATGCTTAATTGAAGCTTAAAGTGGATGCAATGCAATTCAATTGTGCAATCAACAAGAATTTTACAAAAAAAATCGGGAAGAGAGTTTAATTGAGATCAATAGCTTAATGGAATCACAAAAAGATAAATTCGAATATTCGATTTTATTGCAGCTGTTGTTTTGTAGAATACAGCACAGCTGTAAAATGAAAACGTAACGTAGAACAAGCTGTCACAGCTGATCCGTCTTAAATTTTAAATTAAACTTTTAATTTTCTTTTACTTTAGATTATAGAGCATGTTTTTAAGTCAAAATTATTATTTATTCACTTACAATGTAAAAAAGGGTCCAAAAATCGTTCTCTAGGAAATTACCATGTTTTGTTTGTTTATATTTTTATAAATACAAATTTCATGGGTTAGAAATGGAAAGTATAGTGAGCCTGTTGTCAGATTGGGACAGTATTGACAACCCGTTGACAGCGCTGTCATCTGTACAGTTGGATACAATCACAGATATAGCTAATTTTATAAGGTAGGAGAGGAGAGAGCGCGGCGGGGGGTGGGATGGTCCAAAAGGGTTTTCATGAAATGTTACCCCCCCCCCCAATCTTATGAATCTCCCTTCTTCGATCTGACCAAAACATTGGTTACATTAACGACCGGAAAAATAGATTTACTTTCCGGTTACCCCGGTTACTCCGGTCATGTCTTTATGTCTAAACCTCCCTTCACACTCTCCACACACACACATCAAACGCACAACTAACACACAAACACACATTGCAGTTGATTTTTGTCCTGGCACTGTAAAATCAAGTATTTTTTTGGCAATTTTCAAGAGAACTATTTCCAAATAATAACTCACGGCCGCAGCGCTCTGCACCTTAGCCTGTCCTAGACTTGGAGCTCGTTCCCTAGCCTTTCAGCTAGCCGCAGCACTCGACCCAGAAGTTATTTTAACCTAACCTATCCCTGAAATAATACACAATAATTACTAAATTTGATGGAAGCAGTTGAAATCGAGGGCTGCAGCGCTAGGAATGTCCTAGCCACAGCGCTCGGCCCAGAAATTGTCCTAGCCTAACCTAACCCTGAAATAATTCTAGTAAAATATAATTTGTTTTTAAATCAGTTGAATTTTAGATCATGTACAAAATTGATAATAGGGGGGATCCAGAAATTGTTTTCTAGGATTGTCCCGTATTTGTTAAGGTCCTTAACAACGAGGAGTAATCCCAGTCTCAATATATATAATAGGTTGATAATAATATTTTAACATTCACAAATAGTATTAACCCTTTGTAGGTGGGGGCCGGGGGGGGATGTTATTATTCGTTAAGAAATTAATACCCTCTTTCACATATTTATAGAAGTACAATTACATTTGAATATTTATAAGGGAGCCTCCACTACCCCGACATATAAAGAGGTCCCAGGATCCTCTAGAGGCTGCCTCCAGTAGAAGTGTAACCTCCGATGGACAAGGAAATGGAGGTGAAGAAGATTACTCAACATACAGAGTTACCACAAAGGATGAGAATTTAAAGACGACTACAGAATTTATCCTGATATTTTTCATTCCCTGCAACTGTAAACTTGTTTTTTTTCTTTGCCAAATTATTAAATAATCCGTTTAAAGACCAAATTCAAGGAAGAAGACTTCATCTAACCTCACAGCTGAAGAGTTCCGAGTCGTCTTTATAGCCTCCTCTTTTGTGGTAACCCTGTATATTTTTCAAAATGAAACTGTCCGCTTGGATGTAGATTCGGATCCTGTTACATGTGAAAAAATTCAAGTTTTTTTCGAATTTTCTTTATTTGTGCATTCCCACATTTTTTTATTGTAAATCTCGAAAAATCAAGTGATTAGTTTAATTTACTACCTTTATGGACTTCTTGATCTAACAGAATTCATGATTTGAAATACCAAAGATTTTTTCTTGAATTACGTTCCAGAGTACGTTGCCACAGTACAGCAAAGAATGATAAAACAAAAGGCAATATGTTTTGACAATATAAGAATGTATTTTTTTTAAATAATCTTTTTTGTTTGTTTATTTTCTTGTTGTTTTTAACAATTCTATTTATTTTTTATCGATTTTGATGGTTATTATATCGTTAGAACTGACGAGGGTCAACCCACACCGAAATATATTTTCAATAAATATGGAACTAACATCTACTTTTTTTTTACTCAACAGAGGTTAGGTCCATCACCATCACCGAATTTTAAATAGCAATAATTTAAACTTTTTCCAACCCATTTCAGGGGAGCTGTTACCTGTATTCCAGCAGCTGGAGTCTGGGAAAGCAATTATATCAACAGGACAACAGTTCTTACAATGGATTCATCAGGTATCTGGGATTCCATGAGATACCCCCCCCCCCCCTCCCATTTTAATAATATTTAGGAAAAATTTGCAAAACTTTACACGTTAGTTTTACAAAATGAGAGATATTGTTTACATATATTTCTTAATCTATATTTTTTTTAATCTATAAATATATTCACCAAAATTACATTTGAATCAAGGCTAAGTAGAAATAATTTCATTTTTTGGGGGGAGGGGGTGTTTATTCTGTAAATGTAAACTCCTACAGACTAGCTTCAAAATGACTAGGTTGAGAGCAGTCTGCTGGATGAAGAAAGTAAACCTTATCATCAGTATATTGCTGAGCTAGAGAGACAACGGGTTGTAACTCTAAATCTTCAAAACCAGGTGCAGGGCTTGTTTAAGATGATTTTAGCATTTTTCCAGCTGGTTCTTACAATTAAAGAGAGCATCAACGATTTACAATAATAGCTCACAATTTTGCCTGAATTATAAGGTACCCTGTAAACTTTTTTCTGAGGTTAAAAGATGGAGTTATCCCTGGGTTTTTTTATGAATATGAAAATTGATTTTTTTTTTCGATTAAGGTCCTATGAAAAGTGACTTACGAATTTTTTCCCCATGTAGTTTCCCGATAAAGGACTAAAGTGAACCAATATGAATTGGGTTGGATCGCTTCAAATTGGAAGTCGTGCGAAATTACCTCGACAGTCCCTTAGATTATTTTTGCGATGAACATACTTTTCCCGGATTTAGGTGAGTTCCTCCCTGGGTCAGCTGGAGGAGCTGACGGGACAGTACGAGATGGTGAGTAAGAAGACGACTGAGCTCCACGTGGCGTGCCAGCACCTTCTCCAGGAACAGACTAAACTCTCTGAAACAAATAACATCCTACAAGAGAAACTTAAAGTTTTCCAGGTACAAAGTTCCCTAATAAACATGGCGATATGTAATTGATTTTTTAGGATTGTCATTGATCTACTCGTCATTCTTTAAAACACACGATTTAAAGTAGTTTGCAAATCTAACTGTAATATTAAAAATAGGCGTGATGAAATTCAGAAAATGGTCAAAGTTATGGTAAAACGGCGAAAAAGTCTTTTTTTGTTTTATATGGGGAAAATAAATTATTTCTTGGAGATTATGAATGCAGTTTTGGGTTCAAAGTATCATCAGAGCATCAAAAGCATGTCCTCCCTCCGGGGGGGGGGGGGTTCTTGTGTTTCAATAATAATAATGATAATAATTACGATTATAGGAATATGAGAAGATTGTACACAAACTTGGATCTCCGACGCTTTCTGTTCAAAGTGAAACCTTTCTACCTCTTTTATCCAGGTACAATTTACTAATAATGATAATAATCATAATAATCATAATAATGATAATGGTGATGATGGTAATGACGGTAATGACGATAATAATGATAATAATGAAAATGATGATAATGATGATGATGATGATAATGATGATAATGATGATAATGATAAATGATGACAATGATGACAATGATGACAATGATGACAATAATGACAATAATGACAATAATGACGTTAATGACGATAATGACGATAATGACGATAATGACGATAATGACGATGATGACGATAATGACGATAATGACTATAATGACGATAATGACGATAATGATAATAATGATGATAATGATGATGATGATAATGATGATAATGCTGATAATGATGATAATGATGATAATAGTGATGATAATTACAGGATAGATGAGAGTATAACATATCTACAAGCCAACTCTAACTACAAGGAGAGTACAGTTTATTTAGGTACAGTACATAGTACATACTAAATAATAAGTACATAATAGTACATTGAATTTCATCATTGGTACCGAGATGGGTTTTTTGCAATATTTTATTGCTGAATTTTGCCAAGTTCAGAGAGCTGAATCTGACTAAATAGACTCAAGTAATGTAGACAAAGATAAAATTTTCAATTTTCAATAATAAAAATGCATTTTGTGACAGGGCTTCCTAATTTTGAAAATGTATGGAAAACCATTCAAAATAACCCCTGTATTTTCCCCTGAAACTTGTTTATTTTCCTACAATTTCTTGATTGTACATTGAAAACCTTCAAAATTTTGAGGGGGAAAGAACTTTTTTTTGTAGATTAAAATTTTAAACATCGTTTTCAGTGAAGTATCGTGCAGCCCTGAACAGTGCATTAGATATGATTCGAACCTATGTTAAATCCTGTCTGGATTCTGCAACCGCCGCAGCTTCTGTCCCTGCCTCTCCCGCCCTCTCCTCCGCCCCACACACCGCCTTCACTCTTTTCTACGGCAAGTTCCGAGCCGCAGCGCCGCGTATGCGTCACCTGATCGCGGAGACGGAAAGGCGGAAGGATCAAGGCCAAGAGTATGAACAACTTCTGACAGATGTTGAACAACATTATCTAGCTTGCAGGTGGGACTTGAGGCTTAATCGGACATCACATTTTTATTTTTTTTTGGGGGGGGGATGGACTTTTAAAACTTCAGGAAGGTTGACAGAGAAAAAAAAAGGTTGAGAGGGAAAGAGAAAGGTTGAGAGGGAAAGAGAAAGGTTGAGAATGAGAGGGAAAGAGGAAGGTTGAGAGGGAAAAAGAAAGGTTGAGAGGGAAAAAGAAAGGTTGAGAGGGAAAGAGAAAGGTTGAGTGGGAAAAAGAAAGGTTGAGAGGGAAAGAGAAAGGTTGAGAGGGAAAGAGAAAGGTTGAGAGGGAAAGAGAAAGGTTTAGAGGGAAAGAAAAAGGTTTAGAGGGAAAAATATAGGTTGGGAGGGAAAGAGAAAGGTTTAGAAGGAAAAAGAAAGATTGAGAGTGAAAGAGAAAGGTTGAGAGGGAACTACAAAAGGTACAGGGAAGGTAGGGAAGGGAAAAGGAAGGTAAGGAAGCTAGGGAACTACCAAAAGTTTTTTTAAAAATTTTCCTGCGAAGTCATCTTTGCAAAATGCATTCTTATGGGGTTTATTATGCACCGCAGTATAAATCTTAAGAATGATGTCTTTTTAGTTTTCAAAGTTGGGAAAGGAAATAAAAAAAAATTCAGGGGGGGGGGAGGAATCAAAAATTAGAATTATATACACCCCTGAATTAATTTTGACCTTAGACCTTGATCTTAATCTTGATCTTAATTTTGACCTTAATCTTGATAACTCAGGGTGGCCAAAATGTACGGATTGTACGGATTTTTTGATTTTTTCCAAAAATTGTGATTGTACTGAATGTACGGATAACGTCTCAAATTTTATGAATTTTCAGGATTTTTAGCCCGGAATACATTATATTTCTCGATTTTGAACACCAAGAAAAAATGAATGATATTAGAAATGAAAATTGAATCTTTTTAGCTTTGATGATTTTTTTATTTTCAAAGTCTTTTTTCTCAAAATCTAAATATTTTTTGTACGAATTGTACGGATGTTTTTCTAAAATGTACGGATTGTACGGATTTTTCAAAAAAAATTGTGCAGAGTGTGAGGATTTTTATGTACAGATTGTACGAATTTTTTATAAGATACGAATTGTACAGATTTTTTCTGAAATGTACGGCTTTTTTCAAAAAGGTTTGGCCACTCTGTTTAAGTCTTAACCTTGTTCTTAATCTTGACCTTAGTCTTGACCTTAATCTTGATCTTAATCTTGATCTTAATCTTGATCTTAATCTTGATCTTAATCTCGATATTAATCTTGATCTTAATCTTGATCTTAATCTTGATCTTAATCTTGATCTTGATCTTAATCTTAATCTTGATCTTAATCTTGATCTTAATCTTGACCTTAATCTTGAACTTAATCTCGACCTTTATCATAATCTTGACCTTGATCTTAATCTTGACCTTGATCTTAATCTTGACCTTGATCTTAATCTTGACCTTGATCTTAATCTTGAACTTAATCTTGACATTGTTCTTAATCTTGAATCTTGACCTTAATCTTGAACTTCATCTTGACCTTGATCTTAATTTTGTCCTATTTGTGAAGGGAACGACTCCTGGGTCCTAGTGTGCGTAGTGCAGTATCACAGCTTCTTGGAGTTCATCAGAGAGACCATTGTGGTCTTGTCAGGCAAACCAATCAATCAATTTAAAGGCGACATTTTCTAAACTTATTAAAAAGTTTATCCAAATGAATTTTTTTTTTGATTTGGGGGAAGGGGTGGGTGGATATCTGAGACACAGAAAATTTCAATATTTAACTTGGAAAATTTTTTTTGTTACCCTTTGCTTGCTTTCAAAGCTAATACTATTCTTATTTACTTTATGGTACTACTGTAAATCGTGTGTTGATTGATTGGTTGAATATAGGGCTGGTTGTGCCTTTTTGCTTCATGTTTGTGAGGTAACTATAAACATGCTATTAACCATTGCTTAGGATTTATTTAATTTTATGCGGATCCTGATGGAAAAAAATGGATCTAGATCCGGATCCAGGTTATCTATATATAAATGTAGCTTGTCTGGGTGTCTATTTGTTTGTTTGTCTGTTTGTTTATCTATATAATAAAACAAGGCATTCGTATATATGTTGCCTATAGCCGGCCAAACGGCTGGATCGATTGGGCTGGATTTTTTTGTGGACACTCATGGGTGGACGGGGGGTGTTATAGGCCAAAAAAAAATTTGTTTGGGATCTCACGTGGCCCCAGGGAAGGTATGGCCAATCAGGGGCTGTAAATATGTAATCTTAAAATATTTTTATCTTAAATTATTTAATTTTGTAAAATTTTGAAAATGCGCGAGAAAATGTTATGAAATCCGCAAATTTAAGAAATAAATTTTATACTGTAAACAGAAAAGATAAAGCCACAATTAAAGGTTGAAAAAGAGGATGGGTGCGAAGCGCTCTGAAAGCCTAGTTTCTTTAAAATTTACTGAATTGTATTATCAAAGCAGAATTGTCAAAGTTATTGTATTTTTTTCCGAAATCAGGAAACTTTTATAATTTCTCTTTTTTCAATAGTTAAGATTTGGGTTCTGAGAGTTTAAATTTTTTTTTGCAGTTTTCGGTTGATTTTTGTCACTTGGATCCGAATCCTTAGAGCCGCATATTTTTTCGGATCCTGATCCAGGAAGCCAAAATCCGGATCCTACGCACTGCATTAACTTCATAATGTCTTGCTCCATATGGTACCGACTCCTTTCCTTAAAACTGATTTTTAAACCAATTGGTTAAATCTGTTTAATGGAAAAAAGACCAAAAATAGCAGAACTTTTAAAAATATCAAATCAAAAAAACAAACATTTTAAATGTTTATTCTCATTTTAATATTTCCCTAACGGTATATCGGCTGTTTGAAACTAAAAATGTTGGTAATAAACAGGGTTACCCACAAAGGATGAGACTTAAGACACGACTTTACGGAACGGAAATGTCTGTTTGCTTATGTTCATAATTCCTCTCAACTGTAACATGTTTTCTTTTTGCAAAATTATTAAATAAGCCATTTAAAGACTATATTTAAGGCAGAGGACTGATTTTAACCTTGGGATCAACGTATTTATGGGTAACCAGTGCTTAGGATCCAGATCCGTTGGATCTGCAACATTTTGGTTTCCTGGATCCGGATCTGCATAAATATGTGGATCCAAGGATCCGGATCCAAAAGGCAAAATATCAACCAAAACCAAAACCAAAAATAATGCTTTCCAGGCACAAATTAAAATTGTTAAGAATAATAAAAAAACAAAAATTTCTAAATTTTTGAATGGTTCACTAAGTTTAGAAACAACAACAAAAATAACCCTGTATTTAATCAACAATAAGCGGAATGATTGTGGACTTCACATCGTCTTTTTAAAGAATTATCGTCTTTTGTTTTTTACAAATCAATTCTTATATTTTTATAAAGCTATATAAAATAAAAAATACTCTGGTAATAATTGATTTTTATCAAAGGATGAGACCCAGCTGCACGCGCAGATGTTCAGTGCGGTCAACACTGCCGAGGAAGCAGAGGTACAAAAATGAAGAAAAAAATCAGTTTAATTTTGTAATTTTAGACAAAATAGGGATGGTAGCCGTTATTTCAAGTGACGCCGATTCCCCACATTTCCGGCATTTTTGCATGGAGGCTCATTTTTTTGCTTACAGTGTAGGATGAATCATAAAAATGGCACAAGTGATTAAAACTATGAACACTTTCTGATAAGGGTTTAAAGAAACCAATTGATGTCCAAGTTTTTCAACAACAAAAAAAACGGAGGATGGGAAGGGTAATTTTCAAAATATATATCCCCATAATTTTATCTAAATTCTTAATGTTTTAGGACCCAAGGCCGGAGCTATCAAGTTTTCTGGAGCGCCTCTGCCTTGTCCTCTATGACAGCCTCCGTCCTCTTATTATCCAGGTAAGGGTGAAACTAGGCTTTCAAATTTACGAAAAAAATTTATTATTAATCTCTAAATCTTTGGTTTATCATTTTAAAATGGTGAAGGTGATTTAATAAAATTTTGAAACCTAGGCTAGGTTGGCACTTATTGAATGGATGTTCTCAATCATGATGACTAAAATCATAATAATTGATTATTTATTGAAAATACTTAACTTCAATGAATGACGGGTTGTCCTTTATGAATAATAATAATAATTATATATTGTGGAAGACGATGCCTGGCCGCGTTAAACAAGTTCCACAAGATTCAACAGAAAGAGATAGAACAGATACGGGGCATAGTACTGATAAAACATCTACACGTATGATATTGATATTGACTCTAGTTCTGAACCCTCTAGTAATAAGTTATAAGAAATATATACACTGAAAGTTATTTATGCGTTTTCATTAGAGTCTGACTCACATCCTCTATACTAGTGACCCCCAACTTTGAACATACAGTTAAACACTATCCAGTTTTGGGATTTTCTTAAACTTTGAACATTAAGTGATACATCTAAGCATCTTGACGGACCAAAAAGAAACTCCAACCGAGTACGTCGCCAAAGTGTCCGTCAAGCTCCTGGATTTTTGGACAGAGGACCCTGACCTGTGGTTCCTTCATGCAGAGGCTGCCTTCAGAAACGCTCAAATCACACAGTCAAAAACCAAATTCGACCACATCGTCCAGAAGATTATGGTCTTGGTACTTGGCCTGATCATGGGTTCTGCTACCTCCTCAGAAACCCCTTACGAGGAGTTAAAGGCCAAGCTTGTCTCCTCGTATACTCTATCAAGCTGGCAAAAGGTTTCCAAACTGATTCATCACCCTGGGCTGGGAGACCACCGCCCTACTGCTCTCATGGAGGCCATGTTGGCCCTTCTCCCAGAGGACAAAAACCAGGTTGCCTGTTTCAAGGTTTATTTCTGGAGAGGTTGCCCGTCAAGATGAGGGACCATCTAGTGTCCAGGGAATTCAAAAACCCTAGTGAAATGGCGTTATACGCCAATAGTTTAAGCTGTACCTACTGATCACCTCCTAGCCGCAGTGTCAACCTCATCATCTTCCCCATCACATGGTAGAGCTCAGGACCACAGAAGCCCATCACCAAACTGCCGAAGTCAAGCCCAGGTCCATCAAACTCTGAGTGTTATTTCCACAAACGTTTTGGTCCTGCAGCCAACAATTGTTGCCCTCCTTGCAGTTTCCAGGGAAACGCCAGAGCCGACGGGAGGAGGAAAAATTTAACAGCCTTCCCATTGGCGGTTATCTCGTGTACCTTCAAGATGCCCTGTCAAACCGTGATTATTTAGTTGACACTGGAGCTTCAAGATCTGTGTTTCCCCATTGTTCCTCAGCTGCACCAACAGGCCCCTGCCTCCTAATGGCTGATGGACGGTCAACTAAAGCTTGGGGTTCCAGATTGATTCCTCTACAGTTTGGTTCCTGCTTTTTCCAGTTCCAGTTCCTCCTCGCCGACATGGACCGACCAATCCTGGGAGCAGACTTCCTGGCAGAGTTTGACCTCCTAGTCGACACCAAGAACCGCCAAGTTCTTCAAAATCTCTCCTTTGAACCTCTTGCACCACCTAGGTTTTCTCCCACCGATTCCTCCGTTGCCTCCGTGTGTAAACTCGACCTAGTGAAGGGTTACAATCAGGTTCCCATGAGTGAGGCAGATATTTATAAAACTGCCATTGTGACTCCATTTGGATTGTTTGAATTTTTATATATGCCGTTTGGACTGGCCCAAACATTTCAACGATTGATAGACAGGATCTTTAGAGGATTACCCTATGTTTTCATCTACTTGGATGACGTCCTGATTGCCAGTTGGACCAGGAAACTCCACATCGAGCATCTCCGGGTTGTCTGAGAGCTCCTGGTTCAGAACGGATTAGTGTTGAACCTGGATAAGTGTAGTTTTGTACAACACGAGATTGAGTACCTGGGACATAAGATTAATGTTGATGGCATTGTTCCCCTACGTCGTCATGTAGATGCCCTACTCCTCCAACCACATCCCCAGGATGTACATCGTCTCCAGAGGTTCCTAGGCATGATCAACTTTTACCGCCGTTTTTTACCTGGGATTGCAAGAACTCTCTGCCCTCTCACTGATGCCCTAGCTGGAAATCCTCAGGTTCTTAACTGGTCCCAGGAGTTACAAGATGCCTTTGATAGAGCCAATGGTCCTCCCGTCAGCAACGCCAATTATCCTATATCTCAGAATTCACCAGTGATCTCCGCCATACACCTGGAGCTGCAAATGTAGTGGCTGACAATCTCTCCCTTCCTCCTCCAAAATCTCCCCCTGCTCTACAGCTGCCTCCTTCCCCTGGAGTTAAGGTGTCTGAGGTATCAGAGGTATCAGAGGTGTCTGAGGTGTCTGGGGTGTTTGAGGTGTCAGTTTCAACAACTCCATCACCTTTTCCAACTTCTTTAGTGATTAATTTTTCAGAATTAGCCAAAGAACAGCTGTTCCCCCACCCTCAGCCTCGTAACTGTTCCAGTACAGGATGGTTCTCTGCTCTGTGACGAAAAGACGAAGGTTCTCCTCCCCTTGGTTCCATCTTCTCAAAGGTTTAACATTTTTCTCCGCCTTACATGGAATATCACATCCTGGAGTTCGGGCATCCAGACGTCTTATTTCTACAAGGTTTCTGGAGGGGCTTAGCCAACAACGTCCGTGACTGGTGCAAGTCCTGCCTGCAGTGCCAACAAGGAAAAGTCCTCCGCCATGTTCACATTCGCCCTGAAAAGATTCCTGTACCCTTCAGAAGATTTGCACATGTGCATGTAGACCTTGTTGGTCCCTTACCCTCATCTCATGGTTTTACATACCTCTTCACATGCATCTACAGATCAACAAGATGGCCTGAGGCTATACCTCTAACTGGGATTTCTGCGGCGGAGTGTGCCTCCGCCATGTTCCATGGATGGATCTCAAGGTTTGGCATACCTGCAGTGATTACAAGTGACAGAGGAGCCCAGTTCACTTCATCCCTATGGTCAGCCATCTGCTCCCTACTCAAGATCAAGCACAAGACCACCACAGCCTTCCACCCTCAGTCCAACGGCATGGTGGAAAGGTTCCACAGGCAGTTAAAGAATTCCCTATGTGCTCGTCTAGCCTCCTCCAATTGGTTTGAACACCTGCCATGGGTTCTATTGGGTTTACGTACATCTCCCAGAGAAAACTCCGCCACATCCGCCTCTGAGGCTGTTTATGGTTCCGAGTTAACCCTGCCTGGCCAGTTCCTAGAAGTACAAGATCCTCCAACAAATCTGTTCTATGAAAACCTTAAAAATCGATGTCTGGTTTTCAACCTGTTCCGCCACGTCATAATACTTCTGCAGCTGACACTCTTCCAGAAGTTATTCCTGCAGAACTCTCATCTTGCCCAATGGTTTTTATACACAAGGATGGACATGTTGCTCTTCTAGCCCCCCTCTACGAAGGTCCTTACAAGGTTTTAGCCCGCTCCCTTAAAACCTTTCAGCTCCAAGTTGGCAAGAGAGTAGAAGTGGTTTCAGACTGGCCGCGTTAAACAAGTTCCACAAGATTCAACAGAATGAGATAGAACAGATAAAGCGCATTGTACTGATGTCGATATTGACTCAAGTTCTGAACCCTCTAGTAATAAGCTATAAGAAATATATATACTGGAAGTTATTTATGCATTTTCATTAGAATCTGACTCACGTCCTCTATAATATAATAATAATAATGATAATAATAGGTGAGCCATCTGGAGACACTGGCTGAGCTAACCGCTATACTGCGTGGGGAGGTTATCGGTCAACATTGTGTCTCCTATCCCTACCTAACAGCATACAGGTATGATTCAAGATTGCAAGAAAATATCAGAAATCAAATTAAAAATAATGTCACAAAAGAGAATTTAGAACTTGTTATCAACTAGTTATCCAAAATAGTTCCCACATGACTTCAACCATATTTTCTAAAACAGTTAACAGTCCCATAAGTATTTGTTTTTAGACGCGTAGGTCACCAGATGTTACAAGATGTACAGGAGAGACTTGTGTACAGAACATCAGTGTACATAAGAACAGATATTACAGGTAGGAAGCCGAATTGGAACCATGTATTGTACATTGATTTTCTTTTTGAACATTATGTAATTTTAATTTTAGATTTGATAAGAAATAATGATATAATATTAAGGATATAAACCATCCCCTGGGGATCTGGCATATCCAGAGAAATTGGAGATGATGGAATCCATTGCTGAACAGCTGACTCAGCAGCAGCAACAGCAGGTACATAATGATAAACAACTGACTCTACAGCAGGTACATAATGCTGAACAGATGACTCGGCAGAAGCTACAGCAGCTAAAAAATACTGAACAGCTGACTCAGCAGCAGAACAGGAGGTAAATATTGCAGAATAACTGACCCTGTAGCTGCAACAGCAGGTACATATTACTGAACAGTTAACTCAGCAGCAGCAGGAACATATTGCTGAATAGCTGACTCAGCAGCAGCTATTGCAGGTGCATAATACTGAACAGCTGACTCAGCAGCAGAACAGCAGGTACATAATACTGAACAGGTGACCCTGCAGCAGCAACAGCAGGTTCATTTTGCTGAACAGTTGATTTTGCAGTAGAACAGCAGGTACATATTCTGTACAGCTAACTCAGCTTCAATGACAACCGGTACATATTTTTGAACAGCTATCTCAGCAGGAACAGTGGTAACAGCAGGTACATATTACTTAAAAGCCGACTCAGCAGCTGTACAGCAGGTACATGTTACTAAACAGCTGATTCTGCAGCAGAACAGTAGGTACATAACGTGACCAGCTGATTCAGCAGTGTTATAGATGTTAGATTTTGAAATAAATATTGGGATTTAAAACTTGTGAATGGATAGGGTTGAGAGTAAAAACAAAAAAGGATCTAGAGAATCATTTTTTCAGAATAGAAGAGGGGTATCATGATTCCAGTATTTGGGAGCAGAGTTTAATGATGTAATTCAAGAGACTGGATCTTTTTTGTTCATGTTAAAAAATTCAAAATGATTAAATTGAAATGTATGCTTATTATCTAAAAAAATTGTCATCTCTCAGTTTCTTTTTATGTGAAAGGCATGTTTTTTGAACCAATGTTTTGCTTAGGAACGTGGAAAGACGCATTCTCGTCAGAACTCAAACTCTAGTATGGTCAGTCTTACCAGTATGGAGGTCGGAAATATTAACAGCAGGTAGGAACAATTCGTCTGACTTCTAAGAATTGATTTAAAATATCAACAACCCCCCCCCCCCTAACTATTCCAGGTTAGGTTTAGATAGATAGATTGATAAAAAGACATTCATATATGTTTTGTATAGCCGGCCAAACGGCTGGACCGATTGGGCTGAACATTTTAGGGACACTCATGGGTGGCCGGGTGGTGTTATAGGCTAAAAAAATCTAAATATTTTTTTCCAAACATTTTTTTCCCCACGAGCAACGCCGGGCCCTTCAGCTTAAAAAATATAATCTAGGACTAAATCAAGTAGTTCTCCTGGTATCCAGAATCCACTGGTCCTGTAATATTGAATCTAGGACGTATACAAGTAGTTCTTCTGGTATCCAGTATCCACTGGTCCTGTAATATTGAATCTAGGACGTAGTTCTCCTGGTATCCAGTATCCGCTGGTCCTGTAATATTCAATCTAGGACGTATTCAAGTAGTTCTCCTGGTATCCAGTATCCTCTACTCCTGTAACAGTGAATCTAGGACAAATACAAGTACCCTAGCAAGCATTAGACGTCATCAATTATCAACGTGACGTCCATATTATTGAATCTAGGACGTATACGAGTAGTTCTCCTGCTGACCTGCATGGTATGTGGTATCCACCAGTCCGACGCACTCTACTCACCCTTTCTAAACTCTATAGATGTCTGGAGAAACCAATTTTTCAGGGGCTTTCTCAGGTTGGTCTATAGTCTTTACTTTTATGGAACCAACAATTTTGGTCAAATATTTCAAGTAAGAAACTGGTGTTAATATTTAAAAAAAAAGGTTTAGAATAATAGGCTTCCACACTCTATAGTGTGTCGTTGTTGAAATCTATAAAAAAATGTCCACTTTTTTAAATTTTCATTTTTCATCTCATGTTGACACGGAATTTTTTTAATTATTTGTATAGGAAGTTTTATTGGCATGTTTGGACTCGGTACAGTTGGCCGCTGAGGTATACATAATTTAACTTAAATTAAACATTCATTAAATTAAATTCTATAAATTTCTCTTTTCAGTTTTACTTTTCATTTAACTTTACTAAACATTCATTAAATTAAATTCTAGAAATTTCTCTTTTCAGTTTTACTTTTCATTTAACTTTACTAAACATTCATTAAATTAAACATTCATTAAATTAAAGTCTGTAAATTTCTCTTTTCAGTTTTACTTTTCATTTAACTTTATTAAACATTCATTAAGTTAAGATCTATAAATTTATCTTTTCAATTTTACTTTTTATTTAACTTTATTAAACATTCATTAAATTAAAATCTATAAATTTCTCTTTTCAGTTTTACTTTTGTATTTAACTTTTTACGCATTTATTTAATTAAAATCTTAAAGTTCTCTTTTTTATTTTTTAAATAATAATTTTTATTTTAGGAGATTTCAAAGAACCCAAAGAAGAGTAAAGCTGACGGTCAACTCTTCGAGATAAAGCACCTTCTCACTCTTCGGGAACAGATTGCGCCATTCCAGGTAAAATCCAGAGAAACTTATGGAAATTGCGAAAGTTGTTTTGCTTGAATCAATCCGCGATTCCAAAATAACTTTGTGGGGTTTTCCGTTTTTTATATTGAAAGAAGTTAAAATGTCGCTTCACAAAAACGTCAAGGAGGAGAAGTACAGTGAAACCCATAAAATAGGGGGGTCGTCTTCGTTCAATTAATTGATAAGAAGCTCCGATTCGGATTTTATAATTTTTAACTGTTTTTACAACATATCTATCTATACGTTGCTTTAAGCTCTTCACTTTTAGTATGCCTTTTTTGGTTACTACTGCTGCTGTGGTGGGATTTATTTTTCTTAGTATTTATTAACCTTATTTATTCTATTTTACAAAAATGAGTTTTCAAAGAATTCACAAATGAAATTTTATATTTAAGGCTGACTTTATGGTCAAGGAAACATCTCTGGATTTTTCCAAAATTACAAGCGCGGCAGTTGCACTTTTCAACAGGTCAGAAAGATTTTCAAATGGGCAACAAAATATCTAATCTAATTATCTGATATCCTTATTTTACATAGGAAAGGAGATTTTCTGACTCTGAACGGGAACAATTCCTTACTTGAATTCCTTCTGGAGGGTACACCTGGAGTACAAGAACACCTTAGGTATTGATTATTGTAATCATTATTATTATAATTATAATTATTATCATTATCATTATCATTATTACCAAAATTATTATTATTATTATTAGTAGTAGTAGTAGTAGTAGTAGGAGTAGTAGTAGTATTTACTAGTTTTATTATTATTTTTATCATTATAATTATCAGTATTATTATTATTGTTTTTATCAATATCACTATCATTTTTACTATGATTAATATTACTATTACTAGTATTTATATTATTATTATTATTATTGTTTTTATTAACATCAATATCATAATCATAATCATAATACATTCTTTATTTGTTTAGGGATTCTAAGAAGGAAGTTGACCGTCGTCTGAAGCACACTTGTGAATCCTTTATACAGGATTCAGCGAGTAGTTTACTTCATCCCGTTCAGGATCTTAATACCAAGGTATCAATCAATAATTTTAACTATCTGAGCTGAATGGTGGATATCGAGATTAATGCGTGATCCTCTCTTTTTCTTAATATCGCGACTAATCTAATGTTGTACTTGTATCCTGAAAAGTGTATAAAATTCAACCAATCAGAGTCGCGTATATGATACCGATAAATTTGAAATTTTGCGCGCCATTTAAGATTATATACAGAAATGGGAGGAATTCTCTAATTTAGAAAACCTGTTTTTGATTTTTCTCCAACTTCTTGATCATTTATCATCTATGTTCAAACTGGTAAACTTTCTTTAAATTATGATAATAAGAACAAAACTGTTCCAGATGGTCACTAAGTTAGCAAACCCATTTCTGAAATACAATTGAAATCTGTTTAATGACATTTCTGTTTTTGTTTTTTGTTAATTGTTTAATGACCAGGTTCTGAGTTTTTACCAAGTTCGTGGAGATAAATCTGCACTTCTTAAATCCCAGCCCTGGGCAGCTGACTCAGCTTTACAAGCGGCAGTTGCAACCTCCATCCGTTTGATCAAATCTCAGGTAGATATTATAGTTGCAACCTCCATCCGTCTTATCAAATCTCAGGTAGATGCTATAGTTGCAACCTCCACCCGTCTTATTAAATCTCTGGTAAATATTGAAGTTGCAACCTCCAGATCCGTCTTTTCAAATATATTATAGTTGCAACTTCTATCTGTCATATCAAATCTCAGGTAGATATCATATAGTTGTTGCAACTATAATATCTACTTAATCCGTCTTATCAAATTCTCAGGTAGATATTGTATTATATATAAAATGACTAAGACATTGAATAACAATGATGTAAACTAAATAGGTGCCGATGCTCCAGCGTAAGATGCAACTATACCTGGCTAACCGTGAGACGGAGTTCATCTTGTTCCGTCCAATCCGCTCCTCAATCATCTCTACCTTCGTCTCATTCATTTCAACCCTCAGGTAGTCATGTGCATTTAGTTGGTTCGTTTTTGGCTCGTTTTTTGCATATATTTTCTTTCAGGCTCAGAGGTTGGCATAATGTACGAAGTTTATTCTAGCATAGTTTATTCTGACACTATTCCAAATGTTGACCCCGACAGAAGCTTTAATAAAAATTATCCAAAAACGATGCAAAAATGTACGTTATTTAACGATATTTTTGGATAAACGTATTACAAAGTTAAATAAAAGATAACTTTAACAGTATTATACTGTTTTAAAATGTTGGTAGTCTTATTAACAAATTTTTAATTGAACTATAACGATTAAGAAACTATTGTTATTGTTACTCTTAGGACAGAGTATACGGCAGAGCAGCAGATTATTGTTGGATGTCCGACACAGGAACAGCTGGCGGCCATCCTAGCTTCAGTCTCCATTAAACCGAGGACACCCATTCAGAGTCTCAGTAGGGAGGTCAGCATATCCCCGGAGAATAAACAGGTAAAACGATTTTACTCAATAATTAACACTTCACACAGATTTGCAACCAAATTTTCTGTCAATTTCAAATTTAGGGAGCTAAAAATCTCATGTGAAAATCTTTGAATTCTTTAAAGTTTAAATAAAAAGTCCATTGACCGTGAGACACAGCAATTTTCCAGTGAAAACAGATCAATTTCACTAAATTAGTATTGCTATAGTCCTAGTTTTCAATTGTTTTCTGGCTATCCCTGTATCAAAGAGGATCAAAAATGTTCAATGTTCAATGTTCATGCTGCAGAAATTTAGTCATAATTTAATATCAAAATTTATTGAAACTATTGTTTAACATTGGTATTACACTTTTAAATATATTGCTCTATAAGAAGATATTCGGAAAGATAACCTAATCTTTTTTTTAATAAACAACTGTTTTATTCGCATGGTAGTTGTGCTTTGCCAAAACGGCATTTCCTATTTCTAATCCAAAATTTTCAGATATCGCGAGAAAACAGCCAGGTCAAGGAAACACTGCAGCAGATTGAAGAGGCCAAGTCTGAGACGAGTAGTGTGGCGGACTCTAGCGAGAAAATCCAGGAATCTGAAAACCAGAAAATCCGCAATTCTTCTGAAACGTCAGATATCGGTAATTCGCAAACTGAAGATCAGAATGAGCAATAATTATTTCAACGGTTTCTTCTTGAATGCAGAGAGGTTTTAAATATTCACGTAAATAAGAAAAGGTTAGGGAAATTTTTGAAGAGATTCTTTAAACAAAAATGCTAGTAATAGAACTGCAGGGTGATAAAAATACTGTGATTTAATTTTGAGTAATTTATTATTTATAGCATTGCGAATATACAAAACAGGTATTTTTACATTATGTTTTTTTTCTATATTTTTATTTACTAATTTACTGAATGTCCTCTAAAGGTTTAATAAAATGCTAGTAATATTAAAACTTTATATTTTCTTGCACGTTTTATGATTGTTAGTAATTTATAGTGTTAAACTGTTAAATCTTAAAAAATTAAAATTATAATTTTAATTTTTTGTAATGGAAATTTTATTGGTGTGTTTTGATATTTTATTTAATTTGAATTGATTGGAATTAGATTTTATTTCAGATATTAAATTAAAAATGGTTTGATGTGCAATATTTTAACATTTCTATGAAAAATGGCTGACAGATACGAACAGGTAAGAAATAACCCATGATTTTTATGTTGGCCCAATCTTATTGTAAAACTTTGATAGTTTTAGATTGAAAATCGAATTAAGAAATATGTTTTATTGTATATGTGTGCAATGTGCTATGATTGAAAAAAGTTAAACTCTAAGCCATCTATTTTTAATGGCTTTTTTATTTATTTTTTTATTTTCTAGATCATTTTTATCATTTAAAGTTTTGTTTCGAATTATTTTGATATCTTAAAGATTATCAGTATCATCAGCATTAATATTTGTAGGAGATGGGTATTTGATATTGTTGTAATTGTTTTGCCAATTAATAGTTGTTATTATTAGTTATTGTTATTTTTCATCATTTATCATCAATATTATCATTATCACTATTAATGATTTTTTATATTTAGGAAGCTAGATACCGAAGAACTCCTTTACATAATGAGGACTCCTCAGGTCGACATAGAGACTCTAAACATTATCAAACCTCTGATCACAGAGCTAAATCTTACTCTAGACACAGAGAAGACTCTTCAGGTCGACATAGAGGTTCTTCGCCTGGTAGAGATTCATACAGAGCAAGTTCATCCAGGAGAGAGCCGAGTAGATTACAAGATGATGGTCGACATTGGTATGCTGAACGTGGAGCTACGGAGAGAAGAACGTCTAAACGTTCTGCCTCCCCCTCGTGGAGAGACAGGGGTTCAAGACCCAGAAGACCGTCCCCTTATAGTTCGTCCTCAGAAAGTCTTTCTCCGACACGCTCAAGAAGTTCCTGGAAAAGATCAAGAAGTCGATCCCCTCCATCTTTTTCAGAGTCCAGAGTTGCGCCCACAAAACATGAAAGGTACAACAACTTGCGGAACACATAAAATTTTCTTAACTAAAAAATAAAAATTTGAAACGATAAGTTATTTTTTTAAGCTTTAGTGCAAAAATAATTTTGTAAACTAAATTCAACCGTTTTTTTAAATAAAATAAATTAAATCTTGTTTTCTTCAGGGTTGAGTATTCTTCGGATTTGAAGGCGGAACGCATATCTCCGTCATATTCTCCGCCGCGATCCACTCTCAAGGCGGAACGAACAGACGGGGTGATTGTCTTGTCTGAAGTCGAGAAATCTAGGTAAACTCGGGCCTAGATTTAAATACTAGGCCAGTAAGACACTTTGAAACTGATAAACTGCGAATTAAGCAACGTTATTTCAGAGTACAAGGCAATGTGATACATGGCAATAAAATAGATTTTTTTGTAGGCAATTTTGACAAATTAGCCTCAATACAAACGCAATATTAAGAATGTTGGGGGGGGGGGGGTAATTAAATTTTTGTGAAACATTTTATAATTCTGAATCTTTTAACGACTAAAGCCTATCATTTATACCATTTGCACTGTCCTTATCTTGGGTAATCTAGGGATGGCTGCCCCCCCCCTTCCCCTAAATGCGTTATACGGAGCCACATTTGAAAAAATGCTTAAATTTTAGATCTCCGGGTCCTTCCTCGTCAATTTGGTATACAGAGGAGGACAACAAGGCTCTGGACAGCTTATACTGTAAGATCTGCGAGGTCAGGCTGCACGATAGAGGATCCATGAAGGAACGGATTGAGATTATTGATCTAAGCTAAAAATTATTTTTTTTCAATTATGCTTTGCATCTAATAAAAACTGACGCTTTTTTGGCCAATCATTTATATTTCCAAGCTAGTTTCTCTAAATTTTTTACTTTTAAAAATTTAAATGGCACCATTATACTAATCAAGAGTATGTCAATCTATAAAAAAGAGTTGCTTGAAATTACGCAATTAATGGAAATAATAATCTTGTTTGAAGTCTCATATTGATGGGCGGCGCCATCTTGCCATGAAATCCAAAATTGCGGACAACTTACAACGACGGTTAACTGGTAGGTTTGACACCATCAAGACGGACCCCTCCAACAACGTGACGTACGACGAGCAGTACTGGATGCGGACAAATAATGAGAAGAAGGTTCAGATGTATAATGATCCAAGTCTTGCTAAAGTTTTCGATACAGAGAGCTACGATAAAATGGCGCCAAAGTAGGTGTTTTGTACAGGGTGTCCCAATAAACATGGGAATTGAATGACGACTTCTATATCGTCTTTGTTCCATGCGGGATTATTTCGTGAATATGATTTTGTAGCATCACAACACCAAAAAGTATTAATCTCGGTATTTCCAAAATGTGGTCTGCCATTTTTTATCTTCAAAATTAATTTAAAAACTAATAAGAATTTCAATCTTATTTTGATGCACGTATCATTTATTAATTATCGGAAATCAAAGACGATATTAAAGTCGACACTGAATTCCCATATGTATTGGACACCTTTATTTAAAAAGATCATTACGCAATCATTTTTTATTATGAATTAAATTCTGCCTCCTGTCTCCCAATCGATTCATGTTGCACCGCTTTCTTGTACTTTTTCTTTCTTAACAAATCAATTTAAAATTTATCGAAAAGGGGTCACATGGGATTAAGCTGAAATATCTTCTGGCTCTCGAGTCCGCCTGGTGCGAAAAATATTATTTAATTTACTTTAAATTGTAACAATTGGATTTTTATAAAGATTTACTGCAGAAAACAAATATCTTATAGGTTTGAAAAAGGAAGATACGACCATGGACAGTTTAAAAACTCTTCGAGGGATATGTACTGTGAATTGTGTGGGGTTACAGTGGCCTCTAGAGATGTTATGGAAAACCATAAACAGGTCAAGTATCAAGAAATTATTATTTTCTTTAAATTCTCATTTAAAGTGCCCGCCTAATGGCACATCAATCAATCAATCAATCTTTAAATTCTAAACAAATTGGTATATCTGGTACGATTTGCGTAGGACCTTGCAAATAAGGATTTAAAAAACCTGATAAACGTCAATACGACTGAACCGATCGAGCCCAAATTTTGTGTGGGACCTCACATGACCCCGTGTTTGTTTATAATTTTTTGAAAACTGATTATTTTCAATTGTGGGTTTCCTATACTAAATTGACTTGCGCATTTCTACTGCACAGATGACACAAAGGAAATATCAAAACTATAAAGGTTTAAATGTACCCTTGTAAATCGTGCATTGATATCTTTGGTGGTGTATTTTTCGACCTACACATATCCGCCATAATCCACTTCTGACCTACGCCAAATCCGCTATACTACACATCCGACCTACTAGCACGTGGTATTACAGCTGCTATATGGACTTGTGGCCGCAGCGCCCGGCCCCCTAGCCTGTCCTAGCCGCGGCGCTCGGCCCCCTAGCCTGTCTTAGCCGCAGCGCTCGGCCCAGAAATTGTCTTAACCTAACCTAACCCTCAAATAGTAATAAAATAAACAGCTGGCGTAGGTCCGATATTGCAGTAGGTCGGAAAGTTAGTAGGTCAGAAGTTCAGTCGGGGGGATGTTGCGTATAGACGATTTAACATTACCGATATCTTTGAATGGAGAATCACTTGAAATTACGCTTACAGTCTCTTTATACCATCTAATTTGCAGGGAGAGAAGCATCTGAGGTTAGCGGCTGAAATAAAAAGATATGAATGCAAGATATGTACTGTTACAGTACCATGTCAGGTACAACAATTACAATAATAAAAAAAAAAGAGATTTCATTGCCGGTGTTTTTGCGCTTAACCCCGTGGGCGGTCTGGGTATCCCATATTGGGGAGGCTTTTCCATGTAATCCCTTTATCTGTATAGTAATCTGACGGTTTAATTTAGACATCCGTCTTCAATGTATCTTTAAAATGGATTACCTTTAATGGATTGGCAAACATTGGAATATTTTTTAATATACAATATCATCTATTTTCTCAAATTAGTTAGAATCATAAATTTGGACAACAATTAACTTCTGATTTTCTATCCTAAATAAATTTGAGCCAGTCTAGGTCACTCTTAAATTTTTTTTAATCTTTGTCTAGAACACTTTGGACAATCATATGAGGGGTAAGGATCACATCAAGCGGGTTCGAGAGATAGAGGAGAAGAGAAAGAAGGAGCGATGGAGTAAGTTTTATTTAATTTAATTTTTGGTCATACATTAAAATTTGAGCCTTAATGATTTAAAAAGAGAGAAAAAAGGTAGAAAAAAAAATAATAATTAAGAAATATTATAGATGAAAAAGATGATAGATTAAATGAAAAAAGTAACAAAATATGTTAGTTGAATGTGGAAATGATAAAGTAAATGCATAAACTGAATGTAAAAAAAATTTGAATAAAAACAAGTAATTTCAAATCGGAAAATAATGAATGTAACAGAATAATAAAATGAATGAACATTGTACCAGATATATCAATAAATAAATGAATGAATAAATGAAAGAAAAGATGGATGAATGAATAAATGATTGATTGATCGATCGATTGATTGATTGATTGATTGATTGATTGATTGATTGATTGAATTTAGATGGTTCCCGATCTGGCGGAAATAAGTTGAGTAGAGAAGACAAATACCTAGCCAATGATTTGGAGAAAGAAAATGCAGACCTACAGTGAGTATTCTTTTTTTGAGACATTATTTTTATTATAAAGGGACTGTAAACGTAATTTAAAGTGACCCTTATGCAAAGATGGCAATGCCAGATTTTCAATGGTAACTTTTAAAGTTTAAACCTTTGACTGATCATCTTTTCCACATACCTGATCACTGATCAGTCAAAATTGTAAGAGTACTGTTGTGAATTGGCCTCGCCTCTACAAATGGAAGTCTTTCTTGAAATTACGCATACTGTCCCTTTAATATGTGAAAGCAATGCTTTGCCACTCTCACTGTAGGACAAGGATGGTTTGACCGAAACTTTATTATGATTTTTATTTTTATTTATCTCTTTAGAGCCGAGATGAAATCTCTTATGATGAAAAATATGGAGTGTAAAAATAAGCATCATCAGATAGAGACTACCCTCAAGGAATGTCCAAGACAATCAAAATAATTATTAAATAATTTGTTTCTTTTACTTAAGTATTTACAAGTTTGAGTTGAAAAATTAACATATTTGCTGATATGGTCTCAGGAGGGGGGGGGGGGGCTGGAACCCTGTGTACCCCTAGAAATACCCCCTGGACCCTAGGCCTAATTTATTAATAGTACATTCATATTAATATCTTATCAATTGAAATCCATTTTATGATAATTTATTATATTCTTTCAATTAGACCTTAATCTTATTTACATTTTTTTCTTAATGCGGTTTTTCAGGGAGCGAACCAAAAAAATCGGCGTGATAAAATGTCACCCCCCTCCCCCCTTGGGTTAACTTTCAATACACCCCTTTCTGGTCTAGTAGAGAATAAAATATTTACGACAAATGGAATTAAAGCAGAGCCATATGTGTATGATTTCTCAAAAATAATTTAAAAGCTGAGAGATCCCCATTAACATTGGAAAAATATTGATAATTTCTTGATATTTGATTGTGATGGTTCTAAAGGAAATTGACGCAGTTTTAAAGGAGAAGGAAAGGCTGTTAGAGGATAATAGGAACCTTGAGAGGAAAATTTCATCTCTGAACAGGAGTAAACAACCTGTTTCATGCAGATCAACCAAGGTTGGTACCCACTATCCAGTCCAGGGCTGGATTCACGTTAATCTAAAGTAAATTTCATCTCTAGACCCCAGGGAAGTTTTATGAATGATCTAAATTTTAAGAATTTGTGTTTAAAAGTTTTTTATTTTTGTGAAATTTGGAAAATGCGCGAAAGAATATTTTGAAATCCGCAAACTTTTTTTGTTTTGGTTTTATACTGTACAAAGAGAAGATCCTCACAGATAAAGCCACAATTAACAGTTTAAATAGAAGAACCTAGTTTCTTATATTTCACTGGATAAGTTTACCTCTCTCATACTGAGCGTAAAATCAAAACAAGATGAGCTGCGAGGTCAAAAATTGTACCAGTAATGTTGCTTAAATTTTACCTTCTCCTTTTATCTAGTTCACAGTGAGTTTTCTTTTGAAGTCATAATTGTCTTTAAGAGTCACAATGTCAACATTAAAAAAGAAAGTTCAGCACTCCAATCAAATTGTTAACTTCCAGTTAAATTTATTCCAAATAAAGTTACAAATCTATCCTGTAACTTACTTAATAATTACCCCCCTGTCAAAAGATTGCATGTTACAGCTTTTTAATTGTGAGATTACTTGTTTTCAGGTTCGTTTTGTAACATTCAATGTTTTTGGCTTTAAATTGCTCTAAAGAGATCTTAGATGTTTGGCACACAACACAAATTGATTTTCTACAAGTTCTGTTTCTTAACATTGAATAACATTTATTCTCTCACCTCACCAAAACGATTTTTCAAACCATTTATCAAAACGATTTTACCAATCATTATGAAAAATTGTCTTGCTTAATTTTTCTGGTCAGAGTAAAAATTTTGCATAAAGTTTAAAGCAAACTTATCCAGCATTTAATATTGAAATCGGTTAAGCATTGTGGAGCTTCTTAAAAATCAAATAACCTTAAATGATTGAACACGGTGCCTATCAGTTTCATCAGTAAACCAACAGTAAACCATCAGTAAACCATCAGTAAACTATCAGTAAACCATCAGTAAACCATCAGTAAACCATCAGTAAACCATCATATGACCAGCAGTAAACCATCTGTAAACCATCAGTAAACCATCATATGACCATCAGTAAACCATCAGTAAACCATCATATGACCAGCAGTAAACCATCAGTAAACCATCATATGACCATCAGTAAACCATCAGTAAACCATCAGTAAACCATCATATGACCAGCGGTAAACCATCAGTAAACCATCAGTAAACCGTCAGTAAACCAGCAGTAAACCAGCAGTAAACCATCATTAAACCATCAGTAAACCAGCATTAAACCAGTAGTAAACCAGCAGTAAACCAGCAGTAAACCTGCAGTAAACTAGCTGTAAACCATGGTTTTTTATTCATTATAACTTTAATGATTTTCTCTTAGTCTGATTTTTTTCTTGTTTAGATGGAACCTAGAGCAAAAGGCGAACATAATGAAGACACAGAAGTGAAAGCTGAACCCAAATATGAAATGAACTTCTCAGATACCTCAGAGATTATACTATTAGACTAGGCAATCTTTTATTTTTAGCTCAAGTTAGATACCTTTTCTTCCAAATTTGGCTTTCAAGAAAATATCTAATTCTGCAATTTAAGTTTTTTAACATTTACCTACGCTACATTGATCGTAGTTGACAACAGAACACAACAATCTTATAAAGAAACCTGAACTCATGATGCACCTTAATATGGTTAAAATAGCGAAACTTGAAGAAATATTGAGGAGCCGGATCCATTTTTTACTGGGACTTATGAATATTTAATAAATTAATCTAAATCCGGCCTTTCCGCAATCTCATAGTCAAAATTTCTATTCTTCACGTACAAAAAAAATGTTTTGATTCAAATCCTTTTAGATATAATGTTAGAATGTATAGTGCACAATATGTAACACATATCTAAGAAATGTACCAAACTCCTATAACTTTGTTTACATAAAAAGTGTACTGCAGTTTCAGGGAAGCTTGAAGAAAAGTTTGTTTACATTTCTCCAGAAAGTGCAGTACATTTTTTATGTAAACAATTATATGGAGGTTCTCAATATATTTCTTGCATTTTCTGACCTCTTCTACTGCTCAAATATGTGATTGATATTTATTTTCAGATCTTATATATCGGCTGTGTAGCACAAACAAACAGTGAACTAAATATTGTTTCTGTAATTTATAAATTTGTATAAAATGGCTGGTCCTCCGTATAGATGCGATACTTGTATGATAACAGTACCATGCCAGGTGAGTGTAGGGATTCAGAGGGTTCGTGTTTGGTTTATATTTTCTTTCAAGGTTAAAATGTGTAAAAAAGCAAATATATATTATATTGTTTGTTCTAAATATTTCTTTTTCTTTTTGCAGAAATGAATTGCGAAAAACGAACCAAAAACGATTTAAAAACAACGATGTCGTAACGATCGTTTTCTGATCGTTTATGAACTTTTTATGTTTTAGGTCAAAGATATTGCAAAGTTTAATAAAAGCATAATTCAGTTGTATTTCCTTTATTTTCTTTTGAATTCGATCATCCATAAACCTTCCCTGGGGTCATGCAAAATCCCACAAAAAAAATTCTGCTAGATCGGTTTTGCCGTTTTGACGTTTATTGGATACAAACAAACAAACAAACAGACAGACAAGCAAAGTATATTTATAGAAAAGGCTTGAAGAAAAATGATCAGCAATATAAGCTAATGTTTGATTTTGATTTGACAAAAAAATACCTGAATCCTGGTATTGCGACTTGGATATTGTTTGATCTTAATCTTTAGTTAAACTACAGATTAATTTAATCTTTATTTTATATGCCAAATGGTAATCGTACCCACTCAGTGGTTGAAGGAACAGGGGAGGAACAAAATTTAAAGTGCCCACAGTGAATATCGAGATGGCTATTGTGGTTTATTTATGTTTGTTTAGTCAACGTTGGAGAATCATCTGCTCGGGAAGGATCATATAAAGAGACAAAATCAGCTGGAGGAGAAACAGATAAGAGAAGGATTGCTTTGTAAGTTCTTTCTCCTGGGATATATGTTTTTAAGGATTAACCTCCCCCTCACTCTTCTCACGTACCGTACACTGGGGCCGGAGACGGTTAAAAAAAGTTCAGCTTACAAACTTTTTTTCTCTGTTTTTATCACTTTTTCCCTGAAATTCTTTTACTTTTCCCCTGACATCCATAACGGAACTCTAAAAAGCTTTGTCTGAACAAGAATGCATGATATATCGAACAAATTTTCAATAAAAATTAGTTTATTTTCGAGGTAATTTCTCTTTCTGTGCGTCAAAAATATTTGAGTAAATTTCATAATTAAACACTTAACGTTTACAATCTAGAAAACTCTAAAATATTCCACATTACTGATCAGACAAAGGTTTTAATCGGGAATACTCCTCTTTAAAAAAAAGATCACTCGAAATTACAATGACAGTCCCTTTAAGATGCAATTATGTTGTTCATATATATTTATTTTTAGCAAAAGATGCTGGATACGGGTATAAGACGGGTCCGGAGGAAATGGCTAAACTTGACAGCGATGACAAAGCGCGTTTGGCCGAGTTAAAGATCGCAAACTCTACCCTCAAGTCAGTATTATAAGACTATAAGACGGGGGGGGGGGGGGGGAGGATCATTACACCGTCAGTCGACACGTTATAATAGGTCTCCCTTGATTTTTCTTTGCAAATATTTTAGGGTTTTTTTGCGACAGCGGGCATTTGAAAGTTTTATTTCTATTTTTTTCTAAAATATTTCAAGGATTCTGTTTTTTTTGGGTGTTTCCGCATATTCATCTTAGCATGTAAACATTATATCAGCCGTTTATCTTCTACAATCTATATAGCTGAGGGGTAGGGGAGGGACGTCCTGTAATTTAATAATGAGCTTAATCAGCCAATGTGTTATTTTTACATAATATTTTCCTTTAATTTAATACACTTATAGGCGGACAGTTGAAGGTCTCAGAAATTCTCGGGAGCATTGTACTGAAAACCATAATGATTTACAAGCAAAGAAAGAGGGAAATAGGATTCAATTCAAATCAGAATTAGTTTAGAAATTCAACACAACGTTGCATTAACTTTTTCATGAGAAACATTGGTTGAGAAGCTTAAAGTTTTGTGATTATTACCTTTATTTACAGCTAGTAAGTCTAGCTTACTGTCGTCTTCCTAATCTATTGTTTAATAGATTTCACTGTGTTAGGTTTCTAAATTGACAAAAAATTACATGATAGTAAAAATATTACTTTAATGAGAGCAAAAAGAAAATGTCAAAACCAAAACCAAAATTATCTTGGATGTTGACACCTAAACACGAGCTGTAAGACCATATCTCTTTCTTGATTTAGTAAGTTCATCTCGAGATTGATTTTTGGACAGTAGGACACTCCTAAACCTCTGATTGATTGATTGAATAGGACACCTTAGGAACTGATTTTATGTTCACAATTTAACAAAGATTTTAGACCAAAATATGTTCAAAGCAGGCAATCAAATTGGTTTCCTGAACCTATTAAGAATGATAAACCGGTTTAAAACTTTTAACAGCGATACCAAATTTGAAAAAAGTTTACGGAACGATTATTCCCATATAGAATTGATCCAGAATTATCGACCGTAAACTTTTTCAACATGTCACAACCAACTTTATGCAGCATCTGGGAGGTTGATAAAATCTTCATTCGGTTAAAAAAGGTTCCGGCGTTGATTTCCAAAAGTTTTTAATAGTTGTTAGTTTTTAACATAGATAAAGATAGATTATTCTGGACATACTAGACAAACTATACAGAGAAGATCATTAAAGATATAAATAGAAGAACTTTAAGGTATGCAGGTCATAGATATTTATACAGTAGAACCAGAAAACTGTGGATTAAGAAGACGACATTAAAGGAAAACTGAAGTGTATTTGATGTTGTACCAATGCAAATGGTTTTACCAGTAACCTCAGTTCATTCAATACTCTTCAAAAGAGTAAGAACGAACTCCTGATGATGCCAAAGTTTTTGGCGAAATATATTGAGAAGAAAATGATATAATTCTAGTGCTAGAGAGAATAGGGTTGGGATTTGTTTAAAAACGATCTAAAGTAAACTATTAAATCTCTTATTACTTGAAATTGGTCTGTTTACAATGCACAATTTCTTTGTCTCGTATATTTTACTATCCAACGTCATTTGACAGTCGGCTTCCTGGTTCAGAGTTTTCTGGTTCTTCTTGCATACACTACAGTCATTAGCAGAAAGACCTGGAATTAATTGAAAATTAATCAGGCAACTCAACATAAATATTTCTGGTAATTTTAAATGTTCAAAAAAGGCAGACTACATATTGGAAATGGCAGGACTAGGGCTTTTTTAAACACAAATATCTATGGCAATTTGGAATGTTCAAAATAGGTAGACTACATTTTGGAAATGACAGGACTAGGGCTTTTTTTTAACACAATCTATAGCAATTTGGAATGTTCAATAAGGCAAACTACATTTTTGAAATGACAGGACTAGGGCTTTTTTTAACACATATCTATGACAATTTAAAATGTTCAAAAAAGGCAGACCACATTTTGGAAATGGCAGGACTAGGGCTTTTTTGTGATTATCGTATTCGTTTCATTAATCATATTTGTAAAATTAGAATGTAAAGTCGACTGATTAATTGTAAATTAATTCCGGGTCTTTCCGATTAGGACTGTATATATTACTACTTGTGAAAATTTAATTTTCGGGGCAAATCAGAGAAAATATGGTTAAACCTATTTTTATCCTAAAATCTTCATAATAATTAAAGTTTCGCGGGTTGTTTTTTTAATTTTTTTTTCAACATTTTTTTCCACGGGCAACTCTGGGCCCTTGCCCCTTACACAACATGTTTACACAATATCCATATCGAAATATTATAAAGATTTAATGATTTTTTTTTAAATAATAAAAACATATTTTAGTCTGAGTACCAGGAGGAGAATAAGTTCAAAGAGAACTAGAAAACTAGGAGAAGGATATGCAGCAGAGTTAAAATTTATTTATGATTTCGTCGAACATTTTCCAGAATTTATCAATCCTATCAAAATTGTGGCAGACATCAAATAAAAAAAAATCAGGGGAAATTTAAAGTTGAAGCTGGACAAAAAAGAGAAGTTACAGTGACATAATTTTGAGATTTTACATTTTTGAAAGCTTATATTTTTATATTTTCAGATTTAGATAATGTAAATAATTGAAATATACAGAGAGTTAAAATGTCAAGTTTATCTGGGCTACCACCTCTACCGAAGAGTCTCAGTGGTATTCTAAACCTCTCAAACTCTGAGTCTAACACTAGGAAATTATCAATTCTATAGAAAATGCATCAAGAAAAAAAAAATGAAAAAAATAATATATGAAAAAAAAAGCTTCGCGCACATATATATATATCTATATATATGTTTGCTATAGTTCACGGCTAGATCAAATAGGCTAAAACAGTTTAAAGAGATCCCATGGGTATCCCGGGTGTAATAAAGACTAAAAAAGTATGACTGCCTGGTAACACGAATGTTTTCCACAGATTGGCCGCTACCTATAGGACGGTTTGGCACGGGCCCTTCTGTACACTCACTAGATACCTAGGCGGAACATACAGATGATGATATCTAAAGGGGTGGTGCTGATGGGTGGAATTGCCTGGGGACCAGGAACATACAATACAGATGATGGTATCTAAAGGGGTGGTGCTGATGGGTGGAATTGCCTGGGGACCAGGAACATACAATACAGATGATGGTATCTAAAGGGGTGGTGCTGATGGGTGGAATTGACAGGGAGTTAGGACCAGGAACAACTCAAGCAATTTTGTTAAATAAAAATAATAATAATGGTGTAATACTATTTTCTTATGGTGAACATTCAATCCCAATTAAAGTATTCAGATTTAATATTTTTGAAAATTAAGAATAAAATTGATAATTATTCAGAGAATCATCTCCTGCACACACACTTCGTTCTTCTCCATACAGAACAACTAGGTAACCTTTCTTAAGGCGTTTTAGTAATTTTTTTAATAATGGGACTAAAAGTCTAATTTTAAGTGACCCTCTATAAAACGATGGCAATGTCCGATTTACAACTGAACCCTTTAAAGCTTGGTCTGATCAATTATGTTTTAGATTTCCATGTTTTTTTAAAAGCTGTTTATTTTCATTATATGTTCCTTTCAAAATGGACATGCACCTTTCTTGTTTGTGTATCTTGTGTCTTAAAAGAAACAAGGAAAATTATCAGAATTAAACACTTTTCGAGTCAGAAAAACGACGTTATCTTCCAAATGTTTGATCATTTTAAGATTTCAAGGGTACCGTTGTAAATCTTAATTAAGCTTTTATGCATATCTTTGCTGTGCAGAAGTAGTTTACCTGCAGTACCCTCAGCTGCTGTTCATGCCTTCAATCCAGCAGGAGAAGGAGGATCAGGAGGATCAGGAGGATCAGGAGTAGCTGGAGGATCAGGAGGCTCCCTAAATGTTGGAGGATTAACCGGAGGATTTTCTAGACCAAGTTTATTAGGTTCACAGAACGGACTCAGCTCTGCAACGGCTAAAGCACAAGTAAGTACTCCTTCATCTATCCATGCAATGAGTCTACCTGATCACAGGTAACCAGTCCTTCCCACTATCCTATGACCTCTATATCCTTCAGAAGTACCTTGATCTCAGGTTTAGCAATTAGCATGATGTAGGGAATGAAAGTGCAATGTTACAGTGGATGAAGTGGATAAATGGTTGATGCCATAAAGACCCCACTATCTGCATAGTTAGTATGCAATATGCAATGATGCATGCATGTCGCAAAATACCGGACGGTTCCGCCAGGACACCCAAAGTCAGTGCAGTAAGGGACTTACACTGTAATAGCGCAGTACATTGTTTACAATTGTGTATGTTTAGGTAAACAGGAAGTTCAGTAGCCTCGACTCCCAGCTGACTTATCTCAGGAAGGTGAGTAAAAATATTTTTAATTCTTGGTTAGGAAATTTGAACATTTTGAAATGGTTGGTTTTAAATGGATGGTTGATTGGTAGGCAGATAGGTTGGTCAATTGATTAATTGATTAATTGAATAATTAATTGGTTTATTGATTTAATGATTTAATGATTTAATGATAATTAATTGGTTTTATTGAACAAATATTTTAAGAATCAATCAAGAGATGAATATATGAATGAATAAAAGTATGAATGAATGTATGGATGAATATATTATTCACGAATCATTGAAAGGATGAATAAATAAATTAATTAATTAATGAAAAGATGATTAATTTAAGTTATATATTATCCCCGTTGTCTGTCTAAGAGATGGCGATCTTGAGACAGATTGATATGAATGAATATATGAATATTGAATATATTAAAGAAATCTAAGTTATATAATATATTAGCCCTCCTGTCTGTCTAGGAGATGGTGAGCTTGAGACATATTGTTATGAATATATAAACGAAATCTTGTCTGTCTAGGAGATGGTAAGTTTGAGACAGGTTGATATGAACCTACTCTGCCAACTCTGGTCCTTGAATGAATCTCTTCAGGTAAAATATAATATTAAAGGGACTGGACAGCATATTTCAAGTGACCCTTTATCTGATCCAAGATATGGTAGTTATTGTCTTATTTCTAGGTTTAAAAGTATTTAATTCTTACAATACCTAAATGGTTTTCTTCAGTAGAAATGCGCAACTCACTTTTGTAGAGAAATCACAGTTGAAAAAATCTGTTTTAAGCGTAATGAACATTGATAATCATTTCATACCTAGTCAGACAAAGTTGTGAACCTGGCATTGCCATCTTTGCATTGAGATTGGAGGGTCACTTACGCCATACCTATAACACTCCCCATTTTTAGGAATGGATCCAGCTCAAGTGTTGAATATGGAGATATTTAGAATTCTAAGAAGAAAGAAATTATAAGTTCATTGAACCACAATAAACAATTAGATTCGTCCCATGTTTTAGCTTCACTGAAACAAAGGTCTCTTTTACAATGAATTATATAAAATATCTAAGCTTTCAAACAGTGGGACAAACTGCCAGTAAAATTTACAACAATTCAAAATTTGCAATATCAAGTTTTATTCCTGTTACTATTTACTGCCATTCATTTAAGTACCGTTTAAATCCTTATCTAATAATTAGTGAAATATGACCCAAATTGGTCACTCATTCTTTTAACAGTTTTTAAAAAATCTGGGACAATATTTAAGTAGGTTTTTGATTATTAGCTTTTTTAAAACTTAGTGTTCCCTTCAATCGTCTAATTTGAATGGTACCTTTTTAATAATATTTCCTTAAAAATGTATATAATGTATATAATGTATATACAAAAAACTGAATTTCTGTTCATCAATATTTAGATTATTATACTTTCTTAGCTTATATAGTAATCCTTTTTTGTTAACAAGGCAATTAATTGATTTTTTAATGGTATTAATGTTTGCATTTTTTCTTCCCTTCATTTTCTTTTTCTTGGTTACCCCTTAATAATAGTACCTTAGTTTGATTGCTGACTGTAGTTTTAAATTTTTTTACAACAAATGTTAAATTTTTAAAAACATTTTTATATTTTCCACCCTTTCGTTAATTTTAAGTTTCGTTTTTTTGCCTCAACTTTTTATTGGTCATTTGATTGACCCTCAAATCAATAACCTGTATTTCATGAAAATGGAAATATTTTTTCTTTCCAATATTTTTTGTAAAAATCCCTTAAATTTTATTTATAATTAACAATAAACCTTCTTCACGTTGTTAAAATACTCGTTGTTAAATGTTAATAAGATAATCTTTGTTCTGTTTAGATTTTAACTTAAGTAAATTAAATTCTAAAATGTTCAATAAAACTTTGCAATTCTTATTCTTTTTTCAGAATCAAAATGGCGAAAGGAAAGCATGCACCAACAAAAGGCGCTGTACGCGACAAGGTAAAAAAAACACAAAATTAAGATACAAACATTTAGTCTCCAACATGTCGAGAACGCAAAGTGAATAAATACTAAAGTGGAACAGCCTAAGGCAACGACGACAAGTTGGAATATAAGGTTTTATTTGGTTTGGGAATACATGTTCGCCATCGGAACTATAAATCATTTTAAATGTTTCCTGGGTTGGGTAAGCACTGCAAGATGAAACTAGGTGTCAACTGTTCTCACTGTTTGCGCCGAACTTATTTTCGAGAAATAGAAAATAAAGATTGTTCGTCTTTTTAAAGGTGTTCCACCTTTTTATCCTAGCACCCATCTATGCCTTTTTTACCGCTCAAGGGTCTTCGTAAGACACAGTGTTCTTAAAGGGGGTGCCCGGGTAGAGGTTTTAAAAACAGTGAATTTATAGCAGCAAAGTTATTAATGGAAAAGAAATAAGTGTAAAATATTTTCTTTCAATTAGACATTTTCAGAGAATATTGTGTTTGCATTTTGTGCATTTTTTTATGTATTTTTGCTTTATTTTTGTGTTTATAAATTATATGACATGGTTTGGAGAATCTATATCAGAAAAGCTAAAAAAGGGAATTAAAGGCAAAAAGGAAAAGAAACGATTTAAATCAAGGCCTAAAAAAGCTCTAAATTTTCCGTTTTCATGAACGTTTTTTTAAAACCTCTATCGTTCTGTAAGAACACTGACGATTAAAATATGCAATACTTGGTATAATGTTTAATGAACAAACGGTTTTATATTGAAAACTGAATATTGCGCATATTTGGCACTTATCTTTACATTGGACTAACGAATTGAATAACTTTAAAGCAGGTCCTAACCAAACAAAATAACCATTTTTCAAGTTCAAGTTTCTAAGATCCATTTTTTTCATAGTATTTATACTCTGCACCAGAAACCTTGCAAAAAAAAATGTATTTAATGAATTTCTTTGGTTGGAGATTTTTTGTTTGCTTTTGCCCCTGAACTGTTAATAAACTATTTTCAGGTTCTTCACCCTGCCAGTAGAAAAGTTAAGAAAATTCAACGTTTTGAAATTCACAGGTGAATACTGATAGATTCAAAGATATGTTGGACGAAGAAAAACAATTTCGAGTATGTTTTTGTAAAACAATTTTTACAGTAAAACCAAGGTTATAATGCAAGGAAAGTTATTTCAGAGGTGTACGCATCTTTTGTACTGCAGTGTACTGTCATTGGGCGGTAATGTACACACAAGACGGTTGTCAAAGCCTGGCATGAGATCCATCTTTCACATAAAAAAATCCATTAAATATTCTGGTTACAAGAAACTATAATGTAAATTATCAAAATTATTAAAATTTAATGCTCTTAACCTCCTTGAATACTAAACGAACACTGATGCATCTATTCTTGTTTACAAACTCCGCCCAAAGAGAACTGGTTTCAATATGTACGCAGAGTATACGCAACTGCAATTAACTTTCCCTGCCTTACACCCTTGGTAAAAACTTCCTCTTGAGTTTAATTATTAATTTCATCATATTATAAATATATTACTTATCATATAAATATTACTCTAGACGAGTATGTTTAAATGTTGCTTTTTAAGCGGCCATTTTTCCTTCGTAATTGTTAAACTCAACGTTTTGCGGATTTTTATGCAAATACTGCATGACAGATTTCTAAGAAACAACATTGAATCGACATTTTTTCAAGGCAAAATTTTTCACACTTAACCTTCCCTAGAGTCGCATGAGTTACCACAAAAAATTGAACCCGATCGGTTCTGTTGTTTTGACGAACTTATTGAATATAGACAGACAAGCCAAAATATATAGATGATAATTATGTTTTGTTTAGATTTAATGTTGACAGTAAAGCTAAAGTTGGATTAGTACGATTGGGGGCTATAGGAGAACGATTAGGTAGGTGTATCTATATATATTCAGTAGTAATCTCTGTTTGGTTATTTATCTGATCATAACTCATGAACCCCTTGACCGATTTGTCTCAAATTTTGATTGGGGAACTCGGGAGAACCACGGGAATGTTTTAACTTGTTGAGAGTCTAAGTTTAGTTGGTCCATTTTAAAGGGGAAAATAGCTAAAATCTTAATTTACGACCAAGCGCTGGTAACGACTGAAGTAACTTTGAGTACCCTGGGTAAGGCTGGATTTTCAAATTAGTATTGTTTAAAGGGGTAAAAAATGCATGGCCATCAATTTTTTTCGCCCTCCTCCTTTCAAATATATGATTGGAAAATGTTTTTTTTTGTTCTCATGATTATTTTTTAATTTATTGATTAAAAAACTTAAAATTTTGATTGTTTATAGATATTTTATAGATATTAATAGGAATTATTTTTGATTATTTAGCCTGGTTCAGAGACAACCTTCCCGCAGTAGTGGAAGAGAACACAATGATTTCACCAGGTTGAAAATACTAATTTAATATTTTTATTGTGAAAATAATGCTAAAAATATCTCTTTATCCACAGCGAAAACTTAAGTTTTAAATGTTTTAAAAAAGATACATTTTGTTCCGTTGGGTTTTGAATTCTTTTTCCTGTGCTTTGACTGGATAAGCTTTTCAAGATATAAAGTGTGTTTAGTGTGTAATTGTTGTTTTTTATATTAAAGGGACTGTACGCGTAATTTCAAGTGACCCTTTATTCAAAGATATCAATGCCCGAGTTAGAGCAAAAGTGAATTTCGCAGTTTTCTGAAAAGAAACAATGGAGAAATTTACAAAAATAACGCCTTTTCGAGTCAGAAAAACGACACGTAATCTTCCACACTTTTGATTAGATTAAGGTTTTAAGGGTGGCTTTATAAATCGGGCATTTCTATTTCGGCATGGAGGGTCACTTAAATGCTAACAGTCCCAGTAAGGGGTGATTCAAGGAGTATGGAATATTATAAAGGAGATAAAAACGACGCGGCCCGCCCTACTATATGATTAAAGATGTTTTTTCAAACGGTACTTCATTCGAATAAGAAATATTTGTCTGATGTACTTTGTACAAATACCGCGTGCAGTATTCTGAATAGGTTATTGTATATGTTACACAGGGAAAAAATTAGACTGAATAACGCAAACAAATGTCATTTTATTGGGATGCAAAAATATTAGCAATACAAGCGTATTTTTTTTATAATATAAATAATTGGTTTTATTTAATATGATTTAGTAAAAATTAAAATACGACATTTAAAAGCTCTTTTTTTGAATGGAGTACCCCGTCTGCAAAGCATGTAAAATCATATGGTAGGGCGGGCCGCGTCGTTTCTATCTCCTTTATTTTCCATACTCCTTGGGGTAATGATTATTAGAAATTAAAAATTAAAAAATTTTAATTCAAATACAATTTTTTTAAGATGGCGTTATTGAGCTTGTGGAAGGATATTTATCCAGGTAAAAAAAAATGAATGACAATAAAGGATTTTATTTTTTAATTTTAGAAATAAATCTAAAAATTATTTATCTAAAATAAACCTGAAAAATTATGAATTTAAAATAAACAAATAAAATAGAAAATGGAAACGTCACTTTTTTGGTAATAAAGAAAAAATATCTGACGAAGAAAAAAAAAGAATAAAATGTTGGAAGGTTTGATGAAGAGCTGGAGCAGATTAAGATGAAAAATTCTATTGGAGGAAAAAATAAACGCAAACTTCACACAGCTAGGTTCAAACTATTAAATAATCCTTATGTATAAAGTTGTCTGTCTTGGTTTCTGTCTGTCTGTTTGTTTGTCCGATCATAGCTGAGGAACCCCTGGGTCGATTTGTCTCAAATTTTGATAGGGGAAATCGGGAGAGCCACGGGAATGTTCTTAGTTGGGTTTTTCGATTCTAAATGGAGAAAAATAGCTAAATTGGAATTTAAGACCAAGTGCGGGTGACCGGCGGGAGTAAATATTAATAACCTGGGCAACCCTGGGTTCCTAAGCTAGTATTTTATAAACAAACTATAATCCAGAATAAATTCTTTAATTTTATTTCAATTCAGAAATGATTAATATTATTATTTCTAAATTGTCAGAAACTTTTGATATGAAAAGAAAAACAATCACAATTGATTTTAAATAAGCATAAAAAATAAAATTATAATAAAATCATTTATCTAAACCCAATATGCATTAAACGATTAACATTAAGCCATTGATATATACCAAATATTAAGTAAAAGGGATTGCCGACTAAATTTCAAGTAAACCTCCAAATACAGAGGTGCATGCCCGTTTTCCGACGGTACTTTTTGAACCATTAATTGCGTAAACATGATGAAGATATTTCATTGTTTTTTTTAGAAAATAAATTCATAAATTTCAAATGGTGTTTTTTTAAGTGACTCGTGGATTTATACAGCAGAGATTAAAGAAATAAATAAATAAAACCTTTTTACGACACGATATCTTCCTCATAGTTACTCAGATAAAGGTGTGAAGAAACTCTTTAATTTTTATTGAAATTACATCAACAGTTTCTTTTTACAAAGTATTTATAAATCCTATAAATTATTCTATTACAGACAAGATACTATTGAATTTACTAAGAAAACGGAAAAAGCTGAATTCGAAGGTTTGTTTTTAAGTTTGTATAGTTCTGATCATTTGGATTTGCTTTTGAAAGCTTTCATTAAATGCTGCAGTTAAAAGTTAGGACCTCTGTTTTAGATTTTTAATTATGAATAATGATGTGGTTAATGTGGTAATTTGCAGTGTACACTGTACACTCTAGGTTTTTGATTGACGTTATTTTGTATTAAGCTTTGGACAATGGACATTGTTTATAATCATTTTGCTACTTGATTTTGGTTTATAACTAGGTTTGTGTTAGGTTTTGGTTTATGACATGTTTGCTCCAGATTGTGTTTCATGACTATGTTTGCTTTTTAGGTTGTGATTTATAGTGTGTTTGATCTAGGTTGTGGTTTATAAATTGTTTGCTCTATGTTCTGGTTTATATTATGTTTGCTCTATGCTCTGGTTTATGTTATGTTTGCTTTATGTTCTGGTTTATATTATGTTTGCTCTATGTTCTGGTTTATGGTATGTTTGCTTTATGTTCTGGTTTATGTTTTGTTTGCTTTATGTTCTGGTTTATATTATGTTTGCTTTATGTTCTGGTTTATATTATGTTTTCTCTAGGTTCTTGTATATATTATGTTTGCTCTATGTTCTGGTTTATATTATGTTTTCTCTAGGTTCTGGTATATATTATGTTTGCTCTATGTTCTGGTTTTTGTTATATTTGCTCTATGTTCGGGTTTATATTATGTTTTCTCTAGGTTCTGGTTTATATTATGTTTGCTCTATGTTCTGGTTTATCTTATGTTTGCTCTATGTTCTGGTTTATCTAATGTTAGCTCTATGTTCTGGTTTATGTTATGTTTGCTCTATGTTATGGTTTAAATTATGTTTGCTCTATGTTCTGGTTTATATTATGTTTTCTCTAGGTTCTGGTATATATTATGTTTACTCTATGTTCTGGTTTATGTTATGTTTGCTCTATGTTCTGGTTTATATTATGTTTGCTGTATGTTCTGGTTTATATTATGTTTGCTCCAGGTTGTGGTTTATACTATGTTTACTCCAGGTTGTGGTTTAGAGATGCTGGACTGGTTTACTCCGGGTAACTTCTTGAAGTTCCAGAAGTGGGGAGGAGAAGTTAAATATATACAAAACCTAGCTCTTAGAAGATTTAATAGAGAACAGCTTTGTAAACTCAGGAATATCATCATTTTTACCATTATATTATTATCATTTTTATTAAAGGGACTGTAAGCTTAATTTCAAGTGATCTTCCATTTATGAAATGGCATGTCTACAACTAGACCCTTTAAACCTTTGTTTAATCAAGGATTTCGTAGATATTCTTATTTATATGGCATGAAATTAATTGCCAAGAAACCGCGCGAGTGTACACTAGCAAGGAGTGTACAGTGTACACTGTAACCTCGAGTCTCCCTGAACTCGAATCTTCAGCTAAACGAATGAGGGTATCTACCAGGAATGACATAATCGTTGTTTGGATAAAGGTTTAAAGGTTACCGTTGTTAATCGGACATGCCTCTTTATAAATGATAGGTAACTTTAAATTACGCGTACAGTCCCTTTAACAACCATCCTACAGACAAACTACCTTGACTTGAAGGTTATAGAACAAAGAAAACAGGGTTGCGCTCCGCCACTTGCCCTGGTATGGGATCTATTTGATCAGTAAGCGTATATATTTGAAAAGGATGCTGCAAAAGCATTTAAGAGGCGTTTCACACATCCGCTTGGTTAAGTAGGTTATGAGACGGTTATAAACTTGAAATTAATCTATTCAAATAGTTTTTCAGTGAACATTGTTAATGTGACACAAGTTCACCAAAAGAAATGATTTGAACACTTGTCTCAAACTTTAACTTTGGAATCCCAATACCTTATGTTGATATTCTTTGATATTTCAAACTTTGACTATTTTATCTATGAAATTTCATGGTTTGAAATATTTAGAATTATCAAAGGATTACAAAATTTTATTTTGTGGCAAGTGTTAAGTTCCTAAGTTATCTTATTATTGATAAAAATATATTTTAAATAATGATTTTGATACTTATTTTGCTTATATTTCCTGATACGGTCAAAACTTGGCATAATGTAAAAACAGCAAATGTTTGGAATAAAACGTTTAAAAAATTAGCTCAAATCTATGCTTGCTTATTGCTTAATGTTGACCATTAAAGAAAATATAAGCAAAAAACTAATCGACTCAATGCCATCCCTACTGCTACTCAGTGTAGGAAAATGAATAAAGATGATATTTTGTCCCTAGAGATTCTCCAGATCTTCCTAAGCTTAATGCAGACCCGGAGATATCTTCAGATCTACCCAGGCTTAATACAGACCCGGAGATATCTTCAGATCTACCCAGGCTTAATACAGACCCGGAGATATCTTCAGACCCAACCTCGCCCCCAGACCAATCTATGGAAGTGGCATAATTATTTTATCATTTTTTTCAGACAAAATGTCATTTTCCGGATACAAGGAGGTTATTGAGGAGAATGATATTGCTTTTCTTTATATAAACTTCTCCACAATATATCCGGTCAAAGTTACGGCGAAAACTTTCAGTAAAAAAGGTATTGTATGGGTAGAGTTATAGTTCAAAATCTTTCGATAGAGTGACAGTAAAATTTTGGCTTCACTTTTTCAAATAATAGCTCTTGGCTTTTATTTTTCCTTAAAAAAACTGAAAAAATCATTTTTTAGATGAAAAAACTAAAAGTCTTTTTTAAAGGTGATTAATCTGCTTATTAAACCTTATTTCAATTTAAAATGGATTTGATTGCATCAACAAATATCTAGCAAAATTTTTTTTTTTTAAAGATTATTATTAAATATTTCAGGACAAGAGGTTGAGAATATTTATCAAACCAAATACGGAGCACTGAAGGTCGCAGATCTTGTGGGGAAAAAATAATTAGTGA